GGACCGAATGCGCAGCAAGACGCTGTCTAATTTTTAAAACGCCAATGTCGCTGTCGATTTCACTTTTTCTTTTTCGCTGTCGTAATTTCGCGTGAGCGGCTTGTCGTTCGTCGTCATTTCAGCTCCCTCGAGCCGTGTCGCCTGTCGAAATTCACCCTAACAGGGCCTCATGATGAAACTAACCACAACGGGAGACAAACAGCAATACTACAATATCATTTCGCTTTATCGAGACCTTCGAAAGGTATTCATCTGATTTAAGTCCAACTCTTTTACACCCTTTTCTGTGGTTCAACCTCTGAAATCTCTTCTCTTTTATAAAATTAATCCTTTTCCTGACAAAGGTTCTCAATATTAGGACGAAGCATCCCCGAAGTAGAAGGTACACCCCACCCCACCCCCTCCCCGCAATCATTTGTTTCGATTCACTCAAGTGAAAATACTTCGTAATCAGTCACAACAAATTTTGAAGATCCTGTAAAGAAAGGCTCGCATTCTAGAGGAAAATCATATGCGTCATCATCATCACAAGACTCACTATATGATACGTCTGCATTGTCTGAGATTTTTAAGGCCCAACGCCCGCCACGTGCCCTGCCGCCAAACGTTGGTCCTTGGTTAAATCCATACGAGATGCCATACCGGCTTTCATAAGGACGAGTAAGCGGTATTTTAGTTGGTTGATGCCCATGTGGGTTGATCATACTGAATAAAAATGCTTCAGTACACCTTGAGTGACCATCTTCACCTGTTGATATAATTATGCTCCTTTAATCACAGGCACACCACACTATGTGTTCGTGGTTAACCCTTTAACTCCCAAGATCTGATTGTTAATTCTCCCCTTCAGCTTCGACACATTTCCTTGTAAATTGGTTAGAGAATTTGGTGTTAGATCGAGATAATATCTTGTACCTAATGAATTTGAGTATTCTCACTACCTGTTTGCTGAATAATGTATGAATATTATAGGGAGAAGTTAAGTGTTTATCACTTCTGGGAGTTAAAGAGTTAATTACTGTGGACATGAGACGAACAAAATCTATGAGGGTTATGGATAAAGCTCTGAAAACTGCATATCTAAATTACCTCTCGGTCTGAATATCTCAATAAAGTTTAATGAAATGTTAATCGATGCCTTTGTGGTATTTTCGTCGCCTTCGTGGGCCGGCCGTTTGAAGCGTTTTCTTATGAAATTACTTTTGGCCGGAGGCCGTTTAGAGAAGAAAGGGAGATAAACAAAACGGTATTATAGTCACGAAGAAGTGAACCCAACGTTTTCGTTGTTTCACGCCAAAATTTTAACTTAACTTTCGTTTCTACTCAAATCTTTAGCTACTATTTTCTACTCAATTAAGTTAATTTACCACTCACATTTCCAAGACTGTTCTGTAAAACCTCCAAATACATTATTTCCACTCTTCACAATAGTAACAGTGGGCCCTTTGTTGTCACATCTGGAATGAAAGGTTGCGGCTGCGAAGCCATCTCGAGAAGCTCGGAAGAGAAGACGAAAGCGATGTCGCCTCTTCCCTGAGTCAAGCAAGGGCAACCAACTTAGCAGCAGGCTGATATGTTCCTCATTCGTGAGTATCTCCGATCTAATACTCAACTTCATTTGTATCCCTTTAATCTGGTAGAACTCCGCTTCAGTTAAAAGTTCTTCTACAAACGTTGCACCATCCGGTAAGACTAGCTCTCCGTTCCGCAGATAATTGAGTATAAACCGGAAGTGTTTTCCATCCCTGTCGAGGAAAAGGGTGCCGTTCTCGGCATGCTTCCCTGAAAACATGGCGGCTAACCTCGAGTTTCGATCTTTGGTCAGTGTTTGGAGAGTTGTTGTGAAGTAATGGCCACCAACATTCAGTTTCACGCTCGAAATCGATTTCAATTCATCTAGTATCCCTTGTATTTGGTAAAACTCAGCTTCTTCGGCAAGTTCTTTCAGAAATGTTGCTCCATCTGGTAAAGTTAATTTACCAGTGCGAAGATAATTGAGTATAAACCGGAAGTGAGTTCCATCTCGGTCGATAAAGAAAGCGCCGTCTCCACGAGGTTCCATTTCAAACTTCCCTGAGAACATGGCGGCCAGCATTGAGTTTGGATCTTTGGTCAGTGTTTGAAGACTTGTGGTGAAGTAATGACCGCCGACATTCAGTTTTACAATCGAGAGAATACTTTGATCATGCTGCATGTTGTCTACTTTCTGTACCTGCTTATCGCTACAAACAGGTTTTGGTGAGTAAAGTGTAAAATACTTTCTTGAAATCACTCCTGCTTTCTGTTCGCTGACCAAACTTGCGAGATATGATGAGAATCTTAATTATTGCCAAGGGGGAGGGTGAGGGTGGGAGGGGGGGTTGGAGGATTTTGGTTGTTTCACAATAAAATCTACGTGATCACCCCAAGCGCTCTGAAATATTTTTATGATTCCCCTCATTGACACAGTAGTCCCACTTTAAATTCTATTGGCGATGACTGATCATCCCTTTCGTCCCCCCCCTCGAATTCTCCACATCCCCCCCCCCCGTAATGACTAAGAAGTGTAAGCGTTTTCTGTCGAATAAATATGTTTGTCACGCGAAGGTATGCTTGCAATTTCAGACTATTTTTAAGCTGATTAATTCTTCGCTAAAAACTTAGCCCAAAAGACAAAACCAGACAAGACATTTATCAATTACTCTAATTTGCCCAATTATTGTTCCGTGCTGGACATAAAGGATTGTAAATGGAAGCGATTTTCGCAGTTATGACCACCACGTAAGCAGTGGTGAAAATAAGGCCTGAAAATATTCAGGCCTGTACGGGATTTGAACCAATGACCTCAGCGATACCGGTGCAGCGCTCAACCAACTGAGCTGACAAGCCAACTAGGAGCTGGCCATTATGTTGGTCCCAAATAAACCCATGAAGTGATGAATAACTGACTGTAAATATATGAAAGTTATACGAGTGAACTGCGAATAAAGAAATGATTATGGAAGCGATCTCCACGGTGAATATAAGGCCCGAAATAGAGGATTGTGTTTGAAGAATCGAAGGCCTTAGAGGATGACAAAACCACTTTATTTGCATAAAGCTTCCCTTGTCCTGCTCCAAGTAATATTTTTCTGTCCTGCTTGAGGCACTTTTAGACATGGCTTCTTAAAAATCAAAAGAACGACACCTCTTTCCTGCAACGAGTGAGTACTACACCAAATTTATTCCCAAAAACACTCAGGTTTAACATTAAAGAAATTTACAGTTGTAAATACTGATGCATTTAAAAAGGCACAGTTTTCACTATGTCTTAACTACATACTACAACAAAGTTTGGGACAAAGGCAGCCTCACTTCCTGTTTGTACTCAATTATCTTCTATCTTCACAATATTTTATCATTACTCAGTAGATGTTTAGCACAGAGGGTCATCAGTTTATCAGTCATACTATCATGTGTTACCCTCTCTTAACACAGTTGTAACTTACCAACTTACTTACTTATATTCATCACTACAAGGTTACTACTCAACTTATTATTTTCACAAATAAAAATAATCCTATTTAAGAAATAAGCTAAAAATAAAACAATGCTGAAATGCACTGTTCAATATAGAAGGCTGTCTGTTACAAAACCCACACAAACCCAAAAGACCGACGCCATGAAATACTGGGAGGGAATGGAGGGATAGATAAATAGTTCTGAGAGTGCACACAAGGTATATTGTGCACAAGCAAGCTAAGCAATTGAGCAACTGAACTTTAATCCATAAATGATCTCCTAAGTGCCTGGCAAGACAGTACTTTTACTTATGAAAGGAAAACCAACCAAAAACCCTAGTTTACACAACTAAGTCTGCTGATGTTAAATTACTTGTGCTAAGTGAGCTGCAGGCTTGATTCACAAGTGTGATGCAAGACTCTCTCTGTGCCAATTTCCCGTTTTTGCAATTAAGGAGGTCATCACATAATATTGGGTGATGTTTCCAGTAAGAAAGGGGAAAAAATAATGTGTTCCTGTTACCACTTAATAAAGACCACACAAAATATAAGACTTGTCACAGGAATTTAACAAGGGAGAGTCAACAACTGTGTCCTGAAGTTACTAGTGCTCTCAGAAAAGCTTAACCTATGATTTTGATTGCCTTGAACATACACAGTGAGAATCACAAAAGACCACTAACTGAAACTCACAGTCTAAGCACAAGGGGCACGAAAAGCAATAGATGTCCTCTTTAACTTTAACTCCCAAGATCTGATTGTTTATTCTCCCCTCTAGCTGCTACGCATAATTTATTTGTAAATTTGATACCAGAAAATGATGTTAAATCAAGCTAACACCTCCTACGTGATATATTTGTGTATTCTCATTACCTGTTTGCTGGATAATGTATGGATATCATCAGGAAAAGTTACATCTTAATAACTTCTGGGAGTCAAAGGGTTAGCATGTTAATTTGTATGAAGATTGGAACCCACAACTTAAAGGATCCATGACAGTAAGTGGACTGTAATAAATTTGAAAAATGGTGACATCATCATGCTTTGAATGGATTTTGAAAGTTTTCTTTTTCCAAATTCTCAACACCAGAACATGAAACTAAAATTCAAAATGGCCACTGCCAAACAAAGTACATAGATTAATGAGCCTTTTCTTATTCCTCTTCAAACTCCAATTGGGGATAAGGGATGATCTCGGCCATCTCCTTTCCTTCTTTATGTTAGCTCAGAAAATTTGGTATTGGATCAACTAATAATCCCCTTGTAATATTTTTCTTATTTCTCATCACTAGTCTGCTTGATATTGTATTGATATTGTAAGGAGAAATTCTTTCTTGGTCACTCATGCAAGTTAAAGGGTTAATGGATTCAGCAAACTACGACCTTGTAGAAACATAAGGTGTCTCAAATGGACTCCAGAGCCCAGTTGTTTGAAGGCCAATTAGTGCTAATCCAAGGTTACATTTTAATCCCAGCATCTTTACGCCTTCAAAAGCCTCTATTGGATAATTTTCCCTACCATTTTTAGAGCATTCAATCATCAAACAGAAGACAAAAAAAAATCATACTGAATTTTCTTATACAGCTTTTAGATGTGAAATCCAATTTCAAACTAACCCTGGTTTATCTCAACCCAGCTTCAAACAACGTGGTCCTTGTCTATAACAGGCTTGCCAATGTTATCGCATGAAGTAGAATACCAGTATGCTATAAGTTAAAAAGTCAAATACTTGATTATTGTCATGATGAAGAAAAAAAAACCTTAGCATAATATTTATCTACTTAAAATTTTTATTACTTTTATTTCTTATTTCTCATCACTAGTCTGCTTGATATTGTATTGATCCTGTAAGGAGAAATTCTTTGTTGGTCACTCATTCAAGTTAAAGGGTTAATGGATTCAGAAAACTAAGACCTTGCGGCTACATAAGGTGTCTCAAATGGACTGCAGAGCCCAGTTGTTTGAAGGCCAATTAGTGCTAATCCAAGGTTACATTTTAATCCCAGCATCTTTACTCCTTTGTTCAAAAGCCTTTTTTGGATAATTTTCTCTCTTCTTTTTAGAGCATCCAATCATCAAACAGCAGACAAAAAAATTCATGCTGAATTTTTTATAAAACTTTCAGATGTGAAATCTGATTTCACACTAACCCTGGGTTATCTTAACCCAGCTTCAAACAACCCAGCCCTAGTCTATAACAGGCTTGCAAGTGTTATTACATGAAGTAGAATATCAGCATGCTGTTGAAAAGTCAAATACTTGAATATTATCATGATGAAGGAAAAAAAAACCTTAGCATAATATTTATCTACTTATAATTTTCTACACCTCTTTGGACCTATAACTCCACTCTTCCTTTTTCTGTTATTTACCCCCTGCAAAAGCACTAGATAAAGGAAAAGTAACTCATTAAACCTTTACACCCTAATATCAGTGTACAAATTCTCCATACTGTTCTCTAAACATTTCCTAAGGTGCTGACAAGGAGAATTTCTCTCAAAATCGAGAGCTTCTTTACTTGGTGATCATTTCCTTTAATCTCGTGACCTTAATTTGTGATTCAGGGGGTGAATTGTAGGGAGAAATTAAATGCTAATCACCCTCAAGGGTCAAAAGGTTAAAAGAAACACCCAAGCCATCAATTGCTACATGCTAGTTCACGAGCGAAAAGACTTCATAATCACTCACAAGAAACTGTGTTTTCCCTGTAAAGAAAGTACGGAAATCTTGATGAAAATCATAGGAGTCACTGATACCAAAGTCACTGCTGCGCACATTTGCATGGTCGGAAATTTTCAAAGCATACCCGCCATAAAGACCTCTACCAAATGTTGGTCCATATTCACTGTAACAGCAGATGCCGTACTTTTGGCCATCAGTAGTAATTGGCATTTTAGTTGGTTCCAGGCCTTGTGGGTTGACCAGAGTGAACAAGAATGATTTTGAACATCTTGCATAATCACCATCACCTGTTAATGAGAAGACACCTTCCATTAAAAAAAATCAAATCTTTTTCATAAAGGTTAATAAATATTGCCAATAACAAAAGGAACTTGCTTACTATACACTTCCTGCAAAGGGGGGAGGTCACTTCCTTGTAAAATGCCGCTAAATGGGGTGGCATTTTCACCTCTGTATTGACTATTATGGGGTTGGTTTTTGATAGAGTTACTAGAATGGGGTCATACATTTTCCTGTTTTTTGGGGTAAGAAAATTCTGCTAAATAGGGGTTTCAAAATAGGAAGATCCCCAGTGAAATAGTTACTGTATTTCATGTTTTTGTTTTAATATTCAACAATTGACTTGCATTACATTCCATTAATTTAAAAAAAGTTCTACACTCAGCTTAACAAATGTGTAAATTCATTTCAGAATGACCTACTTAAAAGACTTGTAGAGTTCAGATGAATGAACAGAAAGTCACTAAGTTGGCATCACAAATATTACATTTGCTCAAAAGTGACTAAGATGGGTTCAATAACTGGCCACAGAATAAACCATTATAGGGTAAGGGTTCTGAGTAGCCAGTAACACATACCCAATTACCCTCAATTGGCCCAACCATCCCTCCCCACAAGGGCACATCACTTTCAAAAAAGATAAAAATGACAAGATAAAAAAGTGAAACATTAAGTTAGACTTCGTAGATTTCGGTACATTATAATAGAAATTTTAACAGAACTTTTGTTTCTACTCGTAAGCTATTCAAGTGTATCATTCCTCTGATGTATAGCAGTATATCAGTTCACACTTACTATTCCAAGACTGTTCTGTAAAACCTCCAAATATATTTTCTCCACTCCGCACAATGGTAACAGTAGGTCCTTTGTTGTCACACATGGAGTGAAAGGTTTTGGCGAAGAAGCCATCGCGAGAAGCTCGGAACAGTAGACGAAGGTGATGTCGCTTCCTCCTTGAGTCAAGCAAGGGTAGGAAACTAAGCAGCTTGGCTGTGTGTTCCTCATTCGTTATTATCTCCGACATAACGCTCAATTTCATTAGTATCCCTTCAACCTGGTAGAACTGTGCTTCGGCTTCGAGCTCTTTCAGTGCAGATTCATCCTCCGGTAACCTCGCATCTCCATCACGAAGATAATTGAGTATGTAACGGAAGTGTGTTCCATCTCTGTCAATGATGAAGGTGCTGTTGTTTACATGTTCACCTGAAAACATGGCGCACAATCTTGACTTTGGATCTTTCTTCAGCGTTTGGAGACTTGTTGTGAAGTGATGGCCGCCAACATTCAGTTTCACGATCGTTAAATTATCTGTCACGGACTTTAATTCATCAAGAATTCCCTGGATCTGGTAAAACTCAGCCTCCTCCATCAGTTCCTTCAGAGCTGTGCTTCCTTCAGGTAATGTTAATTTTCCACTGCGAAGGTAATTGAGTATAAATCGAAAGTGAGTTCCATCTCGGTCAATGAACATAGTACCGTCTTCACTAGGTTTCATGTCAAATTTTCCCGAAAACATAATGGCTAGCATTGAGTTTGGATCTTTGGTTAGTGTTTGTCGACTTGTAGTAAAGAAATGACCGCCGACATTCAGTTTTACGGTCGAGGAAATTCCCTGGTCGTGTCCGTTCTGCATTATCGCTAAAAGTCAGTGGTAAATTTTCACTTTATCAAGGCTTGAAATAAAAAAGCGACCACAGTCTTTCCCGCGAGTAGCGACGCCGAAACGATGATTGCGGAGCTTTGTGAATATATCAGTTGAAAATGAAAGTTTGGAATAAACACGTGACGTCAAATTGACATTTTAAGGTTCCAGCGGTTAACTTTCCTCATCAAGCCTTAGTAATTACTGAATACGTTTAAATTTCCTGTTTTGATGGCTTACAGGGCACATCAACCATCTGTTCGTAATAGAGATTCAGGCAAACTAATTAAAATTCAGCTTTACGTAATTAGGTCATCACGGAATATCCCAACAGTCAACTGTCCCTAAGCGCTATACATCGCTTTGGGTGGATTGGGAACTAATCGGTATGAAATTCAGCGCTCCTTTTGGCTCTCACGAAGAGATTATAAACCGTTTTAATCTCTTGCTCACCCGTAATGCTAAAATTAGCAACCTCGAACGAAGAATTCATCCTGAGTGTCTACAAGTCCACGAAGACACGTTTCAGTTTATTTCCTTGTATTTATCTTATATTATTTTAGTGTTACACTTACCTTTAATTTTTCCCTATGTAACACGTTACAGCTCTATGTTTCACCAGTATCATGCAAATATTGCCCCATAAACATCTAAATTCTCATTCTAGTCAGTCCGGTTTACCTTCAGAAGTCTATTTTGGCCAGGCCAGCCGAAACACAGTCTATTTTTTACAGTTTTACCGCTTCTGGTTTCAGGATCCATTCACATCATAGGATACGAAGAATAGCTCCAACTATAAATTTAATTCTACTAATATTAATATCTCATACCAATGTGAACAAAGACAGCAAATGATCTCTTTCTTTTGTTTTTTATTATTATTATTATTATTATTAAAATAAACAAAGAAAACTTACATCATCAAAAGTATTTACAATTATACTAACACTACTAATAAAAAAAGACTATTAAAACGAGATTATTTTTTATTTTGAAAGCATCCCAGGAATTCTTAACTTTAGCAATTTGATTTTCTATTTTTAAAGTAGTTTGAACTAGTCGTTGTGTATTTCGAAACTAATGCGTGTTTCCTTCAATTCACAAGTGTTAATATCGTGCCCTTATTAAACCCATTTTGAAAACACATGTTGCTATTGTCACGCTTTTAAGTCCTAAATAAGGTAATGGGGGGGGGGGGGGAGGGGCGCCTACATCGTTTCTATCTTCGAAAAATTACCTTATGTCAATTAAAGACCTCGAACACTTCATAATTTGATACCATGAAAGATCTTTTCCCTGTGAAGAAAGTTCCCTTATGTCCTTCAGGGCACTGATATGACGCGCCAAGGCTTTCAGAACTTGAAGCCCTTACGTTAGCGTTGCCTGAGATGAGCAGGTCGTATCGCCGAAAAGTATCTTCCTGTCGCGAACCAAATGCTGGTCCACTTTGTGCTTCAGGTAAAATGCCAACTAGAATCGGCAGATTGGAGCTTTTTCCTCCTGGTCTGCCGCTCCAACTCACCTCTGGGTCAGGACGTAACGACATTTTAGTTGGTGCAGAGCCATATGGGTTGACCATACTAAACAAGAATGCCTCTCTACAATTTTCGTCACTATCTCCTGACAAGAAAAGCAATAACATTAATTGATTTATAATACATTTTGTAAACAATCTACAAAAGAAAACGCTACTCGCAAAGTTTGCAAAAGTTTCAGAACACTACACGGACGAGGGGCTTGGAAACTAGGCAGACTTTGAACTCGACATGATAAATGTAATATCCGCTGCCAAGAGTATATTATCTTGCCGCTGCTCATATTGCGTTTTTATGTCAACTTCACACGCTGTTATATATTGATTGATTTCATATCAAATCTAATGTATAATAATTAACAGTTGTTAACCAAACTGAAGCGGCGAAGTAAATATCCATCACTTTCAACGTCACTCAAGTGGGTAATGTATTTTTTATGTATAATATACAAAAACCAGAAAATTAGTTTATTTCTTTCAATATACCGTAAAATGGTCGGAAATTAAACGCTTGATTTTGTCTTTTCAGCTGCTCGGAGGTGAATTGTACTTGCTGTTTACTTCCGCACCAACCAATCAGCTCGCGCTAGCAGCACTATTCACTTATGTTGTAAGTGCTAATTGAATTTATTGTCTTTATCAGGCGAGAATAATTGAACAAGGATAGAAAGTTTCAAATGTGCAAGTTGGTACCGGTGGTGAAAATTTTGAAAACTTGGAAACCTAAGAAATACTGCTACAGTCTTACTGATCATTAAACTAAAACCTAAAATCAGAATCTAATGGCTAATCACCAGACGACGCATAATGAGCTACTTTCATCGGGTCTTCTTTGTTAGATCCACAATAAGATGGAGGCCTCCAAATGAAATTCTTCCTAGTCATTTTCTCTTCTCTGTGAACTTCGGTAAATTTCTGCCAAGAGACCAAGCATTATTCTTTCACTTTTTGGATAATTTATTTTGCCACGTTTATTTCCTTCAATGCTAAGTTTTTGCGTTGAAATCAGTTTAGGGAATCAAAATTAACTACATTTGCTTAATGTACACCACTTACTCCCCCAAGAGCTATCTGTAAAGCCACCAAATTTGTTGTCTCCACTCTGCACAATGGTTATTGTTGGTCCTTTGTCGTCACATTTGGAGTGAAAAGTCGCAGCTGAGAAACCATCTCGAGAAGCTCGGAACAGAAGACGATAGCGACGTCTTCTGCCTATCTCTCCCTTAGGAGGCAACCAGCTGACCAGAATGCTTCGGTGTACTCCGTCTGTCAAAATCTCCGACTTCAGCCTTGTGTCATCTAACTCGCCTAAAATCCCCTGAATTTGGTAAAAATCAGCCTCCTCTTTAAATTCCGCGAGAGCTGTGGCTCCTTCTGGAAAAGTTAGCTTCCCAGTGCGAAGATAATTAAGTATAAACCGGAAGTGAGTTCCATCTCGGTCGATGAAGAAAGCGCCGTCTCCATGAGGTTCCATTGGAAACTTCCCTGAGAACATGGCGGCCAGCATCGAGTTTGGGTCTCTAGTTAGTGTTTGAAGACTTGTTGTGAAGTGGTGGCCGCCTACATTCAGTTTCACGCTTGTTAAACTCTCCGAATTTACCTTTAATTTCTCTATGAGGCCTTCGATCTGATAAAACTCAGCTTCTTCCTGCAGTTCCTTAAGAGCTGCTTCTCCTTCTGGTGAAGTTAATTTCCCAGTGCGAAGATAATTGAGTATAAACCGAAAGTGAGTTCCATCTCGGTCGATAAAGAAAGCACCGTCTTCAGCAAGTTTCATGTTCACTTTTCCTGAAAACATGGTGGCAAGCTTTGAGTTTGGATCTTTGGTCAGTGTTTGAAGACTTGTTGTGAAGTGGTGGCCGCCTACATTCAGTTTCACGCTTGTTAAACTCTCCGGATTTACCTTTAATTTCTCTATCAGGCCTTCGATCTGATAAAACTCAGCTTCTTCCTGCAGTTCCTTAAGAGCTGCCTCTCCTTCTGGTGAAGTTAATTTCCCAGTGCGAAGATAATTGAGTATAAACCGAAAGTGAGTTCCATCTCGGTCGATAAAGAAAGCACCGTCTTCAGAAGGTTTCGTTTCAAATGTCTCTGAGAACATGGCAGCCAACATGGAGTTTGGATCTTTAGTCAGTGTTTGAAGACTTGTTGTGTAGTAATGACCGCCGACATTGAGTTTTACGGATTGCATGTTTAGCTTCCGTACCTGACGCTTTGAACCACAATGAGCGTGATATTGTCGAGCAGACTTAATATATTATCCTAATAACGATTTGAAAAGGACCTGACAACAGCGACGGCGACGTGAAACTTATTTACTTCCGGTTGCGTACTGCGCATGAGTAGATTTCTGAGACAGCGGTTTCCCTTCAAGCACGGACATCAACAAGCCTTGTTACGTTCTATGAAAACGTGGGACCTCTCTACCTATCCAGGCCAAACCATGGCAAAGGAATTAAGGTAAAAACCAAAACTTTGCGACAAAATTTAAAGGAAATTAGTTTTTTTTATTAGATATTGTATGAAATGTAAACTAACAGAGCGCGGAGTGTTTTGTAAACGACCACAAACTGAATGGAGAGAGATTTGAATTATTATGCTTTGTTTTTGTTTGTGGTTGCACTTCACTTGCTCTCGCTGAGCTATCTTATGAGCATTTTTTTCAATTTTTTTCATAGTCAAAAAAGAGAAAATTAAGCTTAATTTTTATTTTAGTTTTACTAGAAAATAGTAGAAGGATTTTGTCAGCAACGGTACTAGATTCGACCGATTCAAAGTGTATTTCTTTTCATTCAGCAAATTGTCATTTATAAGCGTAGATTAAGCTTATTTAGCAAGGAACTCAGTGGCTAGGTTGAGCAGTTCTATCGAGGAATTCCTGATTATAACTGAATCAAAAACAAATACAAGACAGGGAAGTTGACATTCCACTGTTTACTAATTAACTAAAAATTATTTTACAAAATCCAAGATTTATTGATTTCCCTATATTTAACTTGCAAATGCTACATATGTGTAAGTAATTTCTGTCTGTTTTCATTTGAAAGCATCCTTCCAACCTTAATTATATGTTCCCCTCATTCGGAAGGCAAAGGGGAGGCCATCATTTCTTTATCTGTCAACAAGGTCAGCTAATTTATTGGAAGACTGTAATAAGAAATGATCTAGTAAATATCAGCCAAAGCAAGTTATATTTTTTTGTTTAAAAGTTTTTAATCGTGATTAGAACCAAGTTTTAGTAAATCTCAGAGTTCAAATTGCACATTTTTACAATGATAATTTTATTGATTACTAATTTTGGTGATATACTAATAGTTCTTCCTCATGAAGTAATTTTTGTTGCGCTGCACTTTCAGTCAATCAATGAAATGGACTGAAGAACACAAATTGCTGATGTTGAGGGATTGATGCTTTTGCAGCCATGGCTGCATAAGAAAGAAACTAGCAAGAAGAGATGATTGGGAAAAGCTGGTAGTGTCCTTAAATGCTATTCTTTGTCCACAGTTCTGTGTTAATCATCAGTCTGTTCATGACCACTAGTCTACAATGGAAAAGGGAATTAGGCCCAAGAAGGAAAAAAGTCAGGGAAGAAGACAGAGCCTCAGCTATTGCCCCTGAAGAGATAAAAGAACTAGATCAGCTACTTGATGAAATCATGGAACTGTTTGATGAGTCTGACAAAGCAATAGATAAAACAAAACAGAAACAGGAAGAAGTAAAGAAAGCAGAGGAAATGCAGAAGAGATCATTAGAAACTTTTAAAGATTGTGCAAAAAAGAATGCAGATGAACAACAAGGAGCAAGACCATAAAAAGAGTAGAGCTAGTGGTGCAAACACTCTGGCTTACCTGAAGGATAAGGCAGAAGTTGAAGCTACTTTAAAGCATGATAAATTTGATATAAAAAGCCAAGAGTTAGCACTGCAAGCAAAGGAGCAGGAAGGAAGACAACAGCAGTTTGATCTGATGAACAAGCAAACTAGAGATATGCAGCATTTAATGCAAATGAATGCAAACATGATGCAACAGCACCAACAACAAACCCTTGCACTAAGGGAGCTAATGAAAAAGTTTGCTGATAAGTGATGCTGATAAATATATGCAAGAGGTCATTTAGATGCACAAAAAGTTCACATTTTTTATTAGCCTGAGAACATTTTTAAGGATGTTAAAAATTAAAGATTTATAATAATAATTATTGGTTTACATATATAACTGTAAAGGAAATGTTGCTTAATATTGCTAACCTTTGAAAGTCCCAAAATTGATATTATACCAGCACTAAAAGCCTGTAGATTTTAAGGTGGTTAGGGCTGGAGGAACTGGGATTGAGCCTTTATCAAGGCAATAGGACTTATTCAACTATGAAATTGCATCACTCTCTGTAAACATCCTCACCCTTTGTTCCCATTAAATGGTCTGTTTTGGTGGCATTTATTTCGCTTTAATTCCAATATGTTAGCCTTTCTCAATTGTATAATTTCTTACTAAAAAGCAGTTCAGTTTTGTAAAGGAAAAGTGCTATTTAGCTTTTGTACAACCTGTTTGGCAGACTTAGTGAAAATAATCTCCAATTTCTGGAGGAGAAACATCAAAGTAGTCTGATGTGGTGAATCCATAACAACAAACACGAGCATTGTGAAGAAGGGCACATGTCACATACATTTTGCCAACAGCACTTGAACTTATTTTTAAAACTAAGTTTTTTTTGTTAAAGTCCAGAGATTTAAAATAATTTATTATATCACCAAAATTCCATTCAACAGAAACTCTCTCCACTCATAGATTCATTCCATGCAGACTGTATGGAAGTTAGTCCAGCTCCTCGAAAAGGTCCTTGCAGATGTAGGTCGGCAAATGGGCCTTGCAGTACCGTCAACAAAACCCCAACAGTTGTCAAGAGCAGCTCCCTAGTTGTGAACTGCAACAGCAAACTCCGCTAAATAATCGGGGCTTGACTAATCCTGGTTCAAATCAGTAAGAAGGCAGTTCCGTGTTTGATACAACTCGTTCATAACAGCATTTGAGATCATACACAATTGTGGCTCTGGCCTTCCAAATCTGGATATCATGTCTACGAATCTACAGGGATAGGCAAATATTTTAAGAAAAATACATGATGCCTCAACCATGTCGACATTTACACCATTGTAGCAAACGATTCGATCCGGTAAAGTTAGCATATCTGCCAAATTGCTAAAGACATTCATGTAAAATCTAAACTCGGTTTTACATTCATCATCTGTCATCTTGTCGAGGTCGAAGCACTCGTAGTTGGTGCAGGGTAACTCCGGATTTTTAGGCTAGAGTAATTCGTAGAGTTAATTGCAAATTCTTCAGCGTTAATCAAGCGAGAAGCCTGGGCCAGGAAAATGGTGTCACGGAACTTTGGCATGGTTTTTAAAAGACTTTCGTTGACTTAAACACGATAAACATCGATGGCCGTCGTCAACGTTCTCGCTCGTAAAATTTTGGCGGGAACGCCAACACGACGTAGCCCCCGCTCGACCCAGACTTCTCACGTTGCCGTTGCCGTTGACGTTGGCGGATCGTTAGGTCTCTAATAATCGGCAAAGCGGAAATTTTGCAGGACGAAGTGAAACGAGATTGCATTATGAATTAGGCCCAATCCACACTAACGTTCTCGTTTACCATCCACTCTAAAACGTCTAAAAACGCCGATGGGAACGGAGATTATTTAAAAAGGGTGTTTAAACAGTCTCGTGTTTAGGAAACTCTCTGAGTCAAGAGAAAGCAAGTTAAAACGAAGCATCTTGAAAACGGACACGAATAGGACGTCAAATAATCAGATAATGTCGCACCCGCCATCGTTTACGGGCGTCTCTTTGAAAACAATAAGCGAAAACCATGTTACATTGCATAACGGCGTTTTCACGAGTGAGTGCCTTAGTGTGGACTGGTTAAAACAAAATAAAAACGCTAGACTGGGAAAACATAATCTCCTTCGACTTGGTTCAGCTGAAAGCTGATATTTTCGGTAAGGACACATTACTATGGTTGGTGGCCTTGAGGGCCAAAAAAAGTAGAGCACGGGCGTCCGTTAAGGGAGACGAGCGAAAAAAGGAAAAAGAAGATCGGATGGGGGAAAGGAGTAATGAAGGAAACGTGAGGGGCGTGGCGGGAGGCTTTCGTTCCCTCTCAGTATTCCCCTTCGCACTCGTTTTCCGCTCGTCCCGCTTTTTCCTGTGCGGCCGTGCGTGGCTCACGCGTCAGATGTGATAAGGAAGCCGAACCTGTATTGTACGAATAAACGGTCCGACTCTTTGAGTGGAGAGCAATTAAGTCTTTCGACATTACACAGTCTGGATAATTCCCATTGTTGCCATTAAACAATAGTCTTGCTTTTCATTTCAAACTCAGCTCCAGCTCAGCAATTTGCAAACTTCCGGGCGTATCACGGTTTCCAGCTATCTGTATGTTAGAAGAGAATGTGGGTCAATGAGCTTCAATTCGACTTAATTTAAGTGCACATGATTTGAAAAGTGACCACACGACCGTAATTGAGGCATTCATTCTCTCCTCCAAAGTTTAGTTCTTTGTAGCATGAGTAAGTTTGCGGTTTGCAGTAGTTAGTTCTCGTTAGCCATTTAAATTATTTAGAGCACTCCAACATGCGCTTTGCGCAGTTTTAGTGTCCATGTCTTATGATAGTATACTGAAGACAAAACTACGATATAATGGTCGACTGTGTCTCCAGTTTCTCCCTACATAGGTATTTCTCTCTCGCTATCGCCGCTTCTTACTTCCTAAACCAAGCACTGTCGCAGCAAATATATCAATTTTGTAAGAAAAAACTGCTCCAGTAAATATGTCTTCCGCTAAACTATGATAAAACTCAAGAAATACCTCAAAATATAGGTTGAAAAATAATGATACTCTAAAACCTCATCAGCTGGAGCGGACTAACAGTGCACAGTCGAGAAGAAGATGAAATGACTAAGTACGTTTTGAGAGACAAATGATTTGTCTTTAGGACTCATAAATAAATGAGAATGGTGTCTCATGTAACGATGTCTTTATTTATCAATGTGCTGACTGGGCACTTAGTTACAAAAAGCAATGCAAATATTAAGTTCAACTGAGCAGAGACGATATCGAGCGAACCGGTTCCCAAGTCTCTACGAATTTCGCTTAAAGTTCGCCTACACGGATTATCAAGTAAAAGCACATAATAAACTTTTGACTCCTAAGCTGTGATTATTCTTGAATTCTCCCAACTAGCTGCCATACATTTCTTTGAAAACTTTTTGGGAGATATCAACATTAAAAACCCTCCGTTTTATAAGTGTTATTTTCATAGACTTTTTTTCCGAATAATTCTTCGAAATCTGTGAGGAGAATTTGCATGCCAATCACTCCTAAGAGTCAAAGAGTCAATTTCACTGAGACTACATTTTATTCCTGAAAAGGTGTACAAGAAAATTCTTGCCTGGTCCAAAATCTCCACACCCAACCCCTCAATCACTCTTCTAATTATCTTACTCCTACTTTTGAATTCCAATCAAAGGGCACATTTTAATAGCAATTTAACGATCGGAAAATAAATGATATGGTGTCGAATAAGCATCTGCACATGGTCAGCGCTCAACAGGCATATATCTCTATTTGTTCATCTATTTATTTGTGTTTTATCATCCCCAGTCAATTCTTGCATTCAGAAGATTGATTTCCTAAATGTATTAAATCAGGTAGGGAGATTTATGCAAATAATACGCTCCAAGGTAGAAACATGGGTCTGTTAATCAGGCCTGACCAGGGAGGAGAGGGTAGTGGGCTATTGATATCCGCGAATTTCTTTCTCGCAATATACCAGTTCACGTTTTCAAAAAAATGATAAAAGTTTAACACCACATGTTAAAAGGTGCCTCTGGTTGTTGAATCGTGTATACATACTAAAAATCCTAATCTCTTACTACGTACAAAAAGACCGATACGTGATTACCCGCAATCCCCGGCCTGACCTGATAAATAGGTTGGAGATAAGAATCCGGCCTTGTTATATAAAAAAAACCTGCCGGTGGTTACATCCTCGTAGAGGGTATAGAGGCAACTGCTAGAATACAGAGTTGGGACAAAGTTGGTTTTTGCACCATTCTGTCGTAAGCGGGGCTATAATTTTTCGCCAATCTGTCCTAAACAGGATTCAGTACGAATAAGCAGTTTTTCTCAGTGACTTCATGTCTCGGACCAGAGACATTGAAGCGCTTTTCCTTTAAAAAAAAAAAGCCGTTTTAAGCAAATTATTCCCTGACAATTTATGCCAAGAAAACAAATTGGATTCATTAGCTCTTGATCTACACAAAGTCCCAGATATTGCCTGCGTATGATCCGTTTTGAGTCAGGGTTGGAATCCAAACACTTCGTAGTTCGTTACCACGAAGTTTCTTCCTCCTGCTAAGGACGATGTGTTATTCCATGCTGGTGGAATCTCGTATGTATGGCCGAGAAAACTAGAGCTCGAAGGAGACGTGTTTGCATCATCTGCAATGCGGAGGTCGCAACCGCAGCCAAATGTTGGCCCGTTGCTGCTACTGTAGAGAATAGCATACTGATGGCTGTTACTCTTAAGTGGTAATTTGGTTGGTTCCAGACCACTTGGGTTGGCCAAACTGAACAGGAACGCTTGTGTGCAGATGGTGTAACCTCCCTGACCTGTTGATGAAATGATGACCTGTAAAATGCCGAATAGAGCATCGTGCCTTCGATTACATTTTGGAAATGAGAGTCAACTAAAGAGATGAATCAGTGCAAGGGGAACAAAAAATGGCCTATTGTATTTAAGCCTGGCGGATTTCTACTCAATTATCGTACGCAGCCACTGGGTGCTTTGATATTCCTGTCGTAGACTATCTTTTGGTCAACAGTCACTCTTGATGATTGCTGGAAGCTGAAACTAAAGGCTAACGCAATTTGACGAAGTCGTATATTGCGTGACCACATGGTTCTGATTGCATAATCGATCACATTCATGCTCGATTCGGCATTATATATGACCCCGTCTGAATATGAAATTACAAAATTTCTGGATTGATACATGTCGTTCTACAGTTTCACCAGTTAGCTCGAATTGTCAAGGTAAAACATCCAAGGTTTCAATTAAATAGCCCTGGATAATAAAGTTCTTCAAGAAGTGAAAATATATAACAATTTTACTTTTCGAAAAGAAGTAAACTTTAAAAAAAGTAATAGTAAAAATCGGTAAGAAATAAAGTTTCTGAATTTTGTTGTGACCGAAAAAAATCTGACATGGTTAGTGCCACGAGCAGTCTGTTGTTAATGGCCGTTTTTATGCTAGAGACAAATTTTAAATCGTCTAAGACGTTTTACCTATCAGTTTCATGGAGTGAATACTGAAAAATCTAGATGAAAAATTTGGCTTGATTATTTGCTGTGTGAGTTAATCTTGTGTAAACTTGAACATTCAACACATGACTTACTGTACATCCAAGATTTCTCCGTGAATCCTCCAAAAACATAATTTCCACTCTGCACAAGAACGATTGTGGGTCCTTTGTTATCACATTTGTCGTGAAAGGTATTTGCCGCGAAGCCGTCTCGAGAAGCACGGAACAAAAGACGGAGGCGACGTCTTCTCACGTCACCGTGAGGAGGCAACCAGCTTAACAACAGGTTTTGTTGTCCTTCGTCTGTCAGGATCTCCGACTTCAGCTTTGTATCATCTAGCTCATCTAATATCCCCAGAATCTGGTAAAAATCAGCCTCTTCTTTGAATTCAGCGAGAGCTGTTGCTCCTTCCGGCAAAGTTAGTTTCCCAGTGCGCAGAAAATTAAGTATAAACCGGAAGTGAGTTCCATCTCGGTCGATAAAAACAGCGCTATCTTCCCCGGCTCTCGTCTCGTATTTCCCAGAAAACATTGTGCCCAGCATCGAATTTGGATCTTTGGTCAGTGTTTGAAGACTTGTGGTGAAGTAGTGACCACCGACATTAAGTTTAACGACGCCCTTCATTGACTTATTTATTTCATCTATCAATCCTTGGATCTGGTAAAATTCAGCTTCTTTCTTAAGTTCCTCAAGAAAAGTTGCCCCAACGGGTAAAGTTAATTCCTCTGTGCGCAAGTAATTGAGTATAAACCGGAAGTGAGATCCATCTCGGTCGATGAAGAAAGCGCCGTCTTCGCCTAATTTCTCTTCAAATCTCTCTGAAAACATGCCGGCTAGCATTGAGTTTGGATCTTTGGTCAGTGTTTGAAGACGTGTGGTGAAGTAATGACCGCCGACGTTGAGTTTGATGATCGAGGAAGCCTGCATTGGGCATTGCATGTTGCTGCTTAACGTTAATCACATATCGATTGAATTTACTAGATTTTGATGGGCTATTTTACGCGATTCTCCAACTCAGTTAAATGCTTGGCTGTGTCATTGCTGTTGTTCTGTTCGGATGCGACGACATGCTGAAGTAAGCAAGTTTCTCGAATTTAAATAATATTATGCTGTGGAACTAGTCATGTGTATCACTCATATGATAGCGGAATCATCCAAAAGGTTTTCGTTTCACTGGACTCCTCAGAAATTTTCCTATAGGGCAATTTTAAAGAAACATTACCATTACAACATCTAGAATCGAGCTTGTGTCCATTTAAACTTTATTAATTCTTTGCACATTCACCTGAAGGTGAATACTTGATTCGACACGTCTCTGCATGTTACTTGTTTGAAAATAATACCATGATTCGAGGTAAATGATATGAATCGGCTGAAAACGATAAGCTTCATTTGAGGAAAGAATCTGAAGAAAACCTTGTGAGATAGTTGAATAACAACTGCTTGTAAACTCCGATGGTAAACAAACTAGTCTATTCTATATTAATGACCTGTCCGACAATTGTCAACAAAACAAAACGCAGAAGCTCGATCACGGTACTCCTCAGTTGTCCCGCTAGCCAGTAGGATTTGGGAACAACCGGTACCGTTTATAAGCTACGATGAAGTATCATCGGGCACGATAAAATAACATATTATACGATGTAAACACAAAAGCTAACTTCGCTCTTCCTTTGAAAAAAAAACCATCATGGAAATGCGTAATTACCAAAAATATCACCATAGGTATTACAGCTCATACTGTGAGCTCTTAGTTTCAAAAATAGATAAATACATGTGATTTAACAACATGTCGCAAAGGTCAATATGTCAGAACACATCTCACCGTTCAACTCCTTTTCTCACGGTCCCTAGACAACAGTTGTACATATGCAGCTCCAGGCGGCCCAAGCTCAGGTCTCCAGAAATTTTTGAAAGCGTCAAGCGTTGTGTGACTCGGTGTTAAAGGGCATGTAAACCCAAAAATATATGTTTTTCTTGTACAATGTAAAAAGTGGCCTAGAAAACGAATTTGAAATTCGTTTTGTCCAATTCGACTTATTTTAGGAGAAAATCGGCGTTTTCAACTGAAATTCCATCTCCGGTAAAAACAATAGCGAGAAGTCGTGACGTAAGCCGTGGAACTAAGATATTGCGCAACACATATTTCCCAATAGAACTAGTGTGGGAGCTCGTATAAGTAGCGGTAGTTTGGAAGATGTTTTTTCAGAAGATAGTGATTCGAATGCCTTAAGCTTAGTACATGACAGCGATGGGGATAATCCAGAATCTTTAAGAGAGTCTGGGCCACGTCCTTAACAATATGAGCCGCGTAGGGTTCACCGAAGCGATCCGCACGAAGACAGTACAGAACATGTTGACAGCGATGCGACCTCCTCGGAAACTCAAACTGGCAGTTAATTTACTGTGAGATTTATTTTTATTTGACATGAAAATCCAATAAAGCAAGGGTACAATCTAAAAGAATGCAACAGAAATTTTTAAAACCTGAGCTTCTGAGGGTGTTTTATATAAAACTATACGCATATTTGCGTTCACCCGGGCTTTCTGTTAGAAATAAACTTTGTTTCACGACAGCTTAACTTAAACGTCCTTTCATTTAATAGTTTTTTGGCATCAACATAACACTACAATGTAGATGACATGGGGATACATGAGAGAATACGTGCATAGACAAATTCCCTAACCTTTCTGCTGTTCTTCCTTAACTTTTCAAACTTCGAATCGGTATTCTGCTTGGTTCACGATCACGTCTACGTGCATGATGAGATTTCTGTCTATGCTTCTCTCGATTAACATTAGATAGCTCAGTTGATATAGCATGTTTCTCCATGAAAGGTTCACTCATAAATGTTTGCTCATAAAGAGGTCTCTCATAGGGTTCGCGGACCGACTCGTTCCGAAAATGCTCGACATCTTTTAGTGTGGTTCTACCGCGAACGATCTGTGCATATCTTGTGTGCGTTTTGAACGTATTATACACAGTGTCTGTGCTGATTTTGCACCGCGAAAGCTTCTCTACGTCCGCCATTACACCATGCCATGTGCTCATTAGTCAAACGTCACGCATGCGTGATGGGGACTTGACTGCGATTTGCGACCGAACGAAAATGAAAAAGGAAGCCGGAATTTCAACTCGGGCGTTTCCTTTGGAGAGCCTGAGTAATTATCAAAGGTGCGAGTGTGGAACTTGTCAACCAACGCCGAAAACTCATGAAAGTGTTTGTTGTACGGAAATCGGGTAATTGTGGCAAAAAGTAGAGGAGCAAGGGCCTGAAACCCAGATAAGTTGTATCACTGAGCATCCAGGTTTTCAGTCAATTTGCCTCAATTTCTGGGTGCTGGAGACGGCCTATTACGCCTACAGGCAGCAGTAAGGCACAGATAATCGCACCGGAAACGAGTAAGCTAAATGTTTTCTGTTTCATCTGTTTTGTTACATTTTGAGATCGATTTGCTTGAGTTGTTTCTGCCATTGATTTAATAATACAGTACTACAGCTAGTTGTTTTTCGCTTCTTTCCTGGAAGGAAATTTCGCTAAGTTGCCTACAGATAGCTTGTTCGTTGGTGTTGGGGTCATCTCGACAAACACTGCAGGGTCCCTGTGCCATCTTGTACGGTAAACAATATCCAAACATTTTTCCAGCGGATTTTGGATCGTCTTACACTGGATTAAAACCGCCAAACCTTTGAGAGAAACAAAGGTACATGTTAATGCAGATCTTAGTTATTTGTGTCTTACTGCACTGGCGGTTGTGCCCGTTCTTTATGAGATATTTATGTATTGCTTTCCTTCATCTCCGAAGCATTTCCATCGATAAACAAGTTGTACCATGTACATTTCCTTGTGTGGCCTTCATAGTTATCCAACCCTGTTTGTGTTTGCTTCGATTTGAAATACTGAAAAGATAGTTTTGCATGCTGAAATCAGGATCTTTAGAGTTGTACTCAAAATGATAAATATTGTCCTACTGACCTTTGATTGTACTTTCACTGCTTTGAAAACCGTGACACAAATTCTTCTACAGATTCTCTGCAGGGGTTAGTACTCAAATCGAGCTGGTGATGACCAATTACGTTCGAGAATTTTGTTATAGTTTTAATTATTTGCGTTAATGTTTTCTTTTAACAAAGAACTGCATGCATAATGATGGATAGGGCTGTGCAGAAATCTTGCCACAACTTAAAACCGCTAATTTAATGCTGCTTTTTTACGGTTGACGGTTAAATTCACTATTTTACGATAGACGGTTAAATTTTTAGGCCGTTTGACGGCTGACAGTTCCACCCCTTTCATGCAGACTCTCTCTAATCTTCGTCTTCGGTACTTACTAAATCCGTGAAAAAATGAACCCCGCACCCAAACTTCATGAACAGGTTTCCTTTCTTCAAAAAGATTATCTTTTGCTTGTTCTTCCCATTCATTTATCTATCCGTAGGACGAGGTTTCCTACGCCTCTTGAAAGACGTTAAAAGATATCGTTATAAATAATGCACCATAAACCAGCCTATTCCAGGCATGCAGTTGGTGAAACGAAGCGTGTCAGCAAAGGACGCGATTGTAGCAGCGGAGTGAAAAAACTGGGGAGGTTGCGGAAGAGCAGACAAGAGCTAACTTTTGTTTGTCTGTTAATGGTGCAACAGGGTCATGACAACTATCACCTGTGTTTCATCTGTGTTGTCACTGCCAATCAAGATTTTTTTTTTCTAAGAAACAAAATATCGAAGACCCATCAAACACACGCACTTTTCCTTTAATGAGATTTAATTACTCACCAATTTACAAGTCAGATCCGGGTCTTTAACATGTGCCTAATCATAATATGGCGAACTTTATGTAGATAAGTATTACGCTTGTGACAGCGTACGTTGTCTGTGACACATGTATATTAAGTACTTCCTCAAAAAAGAAATTAGGGCACACTACGTCATCGCTTTAATGAAATACCAGCCAATGAAATACTAGAACTTTTGGCTTTGAAAGCAAGCAAATTTAATTTCTTGGAATACACAATCATTGAAATATCGTTTTAGCAAGTAAAAGGGACAAAAACTCGCTTTCTCGTCAGGGCACTTGTGGCTCATTTAAAAACTTTCTGAAGCAGCTTTAATGTTACCAGAAAAAGAGCCATGATCATTTTCGGAAACGTTGTGTACAACATCACTTATCTATATTTTTCTCTGAATCGACGGTGCATTACTTTATTAAAAACAAAGCAAATTCTAATCATGCGACAAGCTCGCTTTCATAAATCCATATTTTTCCTAGAAACGACAGTCAATTTTTTCTTTTGGGAAAGAAAAACCGTTCACAAGCTCGCTTTGGAGCCAGCGATTAAATCACCTTCGATGATTCTTTGACGTATTTTCTTCAATTTCTTGCGAACGATTATTACATTTTAATCATTAGTCTGGTTGCATCAGTTTCTTTTATCTGTTTCCACAAATCTCACAATACTCGAGTACTTACTGCTCCAAGACTCTTCAGTGAATCCACCAAATATGTTTTCCTCACTCTGAACAATAGTGATCGTGGGTCCCTTATTGTCGCATTTGGAGTGAAACGTTGACGCCAAAAAGCCATCTCGAGAAGCGCGGAAAAGCAGACAAAGGCGTCGTAGCCTCTTCTCTGTATTCTGGGGTGGAAGCCACCCTAACAATAAGTCTCGGCGTTCGTTATTCGTTAGAATTTCTGAATTGAATTTCAATTCATCCAGCATTCCTTTAATCCGATAAAACTCAGCCTCCTCCTGTAGTTCGTTGAGAGCTGTTACTCCTTCAGGCAAAGTTAATTTTCCAGTGCGAAGATAATTGAGTATAAAGCGGAAGTGAGTTCCATCTCGGTCGATAAAGAAAGCGTCGTCTTCAGCAGGTTTCATATCAAATTTCTCTGAGAACATGACGCCCAGCATTGAGTTTCGATCCTTTGTTAGTGTTTGAAGGCTTGTTGTGAAATAGTGACCGCCGACATTGAGCTTTGCAATCGAAGGAACGCCGGAGTCCTGCTGCATTTCAATAAAATTCCTGCTCTTGCTTATTAATAGATCGTATTGAAATATCTGATTTCCAGTCGCACAATAACGTTTCCGTAATTAATCTATAGCAATTCGAATCTTTTTTTCGAACGAAGGTTGAGTAGAAAACAGGAAGCTAAACAGGCGTAGATCGCAACGTTGACGGTGGTTTTGAACAAACAGTGCTTCACAGACGAGTCATAATAGCTAGCATAGACGTGGCGGACGAAAAAAACAAAAGGAAAATTTATCTTTTTGTAATTATGCATTGTGTTGCAATTCGAGTGTTTTATTGATTCTTCGTCAGTTCATTTGCATAGTTTTTCCTGAGGTGTCTCGAAAACGAAGGCCTTAGACCTCGGAAACCAAGACCTTGAAAACTTATCGATGAAAAGTCTTTGACTCTGACGCTTTTAAGCTAGACGCCAACTAATCCCAACAAGAAAAACTGACCTCAAGTACCTTCTAGTCCATCAATATGCCAATTTTTCTCGGTCTTAGATTACGAGGTCCTAGTTTTTGAGGTCTTAGGTTTTAGTTTTTGAGACACCCGTTCAAAATCACCGTAACAAGAATATGTATTGCATAAAATTATTTAGCGATAGAGGAACAAATTACAATTCTTGAGAAATTTTTATAAACGACTCGTCTTTATAATTACTTCTGTGAACTGCATTGATACCGAGTTAGCGTTTTTTTAAATTTTTATTTTTTAGTATCTAAAATTTAATTCAAAATCGTAAAATGATGGAAAAAGGAGAGCAAGGTCCGAAAGACCTTGCAACTTCTATTAAGTTGTGATAACAATCTTTTCCTTTTTATTTCCTTTTCTTTTAATTAAGATTTTCCTCCTTTACCGATTTCGTTTGATAATCAATTACTTGAAGGTGCCCAATCTAATTTTAGTCGCCCAAAAAACGCATTAAATGTCCGTTTAACAGAATATTAATCAGTTCACAAGTTCAAACACTTCGTAATTGGTCACGTGAAAACGAGTTTCCCCCGTGAAGAACAAATCAGCGTTGGATTCCGCGTCATTATAAGTTGGGTTATTGTAAGTTTCACCGAGACAAACTGAACTTGAAGTAAATATGTTTGCTTTGCCTGAGATGTGCAGGTCATGCCCATCCCTTCCCAACCCGAACGTTGGTCCATAGTCACCTCTGCAGCAAATGGCGTACTGACTTTCTCGCTTAAGTGGCATTTTAGTCGGTTCTGTGCCACTTGGGTTGACCATGCTGAACAAGAATGCTTCTGTACATCTCGTGTAATCTCCATGGCCTGTTGAAGAAATTTTACCTCTCTATTAAACACAGCGCGTTTGATAACACTGTCTACAATAATTAAACTGAATTAGCTCTGTGGTCTGCTCTTTGCTTTGGTGAGACCACTAAACAGATTATCCGTATGGCTCGTTTGACGTATAGTTTTATTTCGTTGTTTTCTTTAAATAAGAACAGATAACCAGACAAATAAAAGCAACAGATATCAGCCGTGTCTTTCTTTTTACGAGAGAGGCTGGCAAATTTACATCTACCGAGTGTACGACTCCATCTAATTTATAGATACAAAACGCAACCGCCGAGTCACGTTAGCAGCCGTCACAAGAGTAATGCGGAAAATCTTTAGAAAGCTATTTTTCTGCGACTCGTAATAGATTGTTGGGCGAAATTTCACGAGAATCTGGTTTTACTACCTACCCTAAAAATGTATGCAAATAATGCGTAATTCCCAGAAAAATAAAATGAATTCAGGTACTGAGTACCTGTCATCCCGAGTTACTAGTAAACAAAACCAATTTTCTTACGAAACTCAAGAGCTAAAATGTAGTTTTATTTTTTTTCGGTGCGTGACTTATGTCGGCGGAAAGTGAAAGGAAGAAATAAATAATTTTTATTATGAGCAGTAGAAATGGCATGCTTATTTATGAAACTGTTGTTTTCCATAACATTCATCCTTATTTAATCAATTATCCGCGGTGTGTTTCGTAATACTATTGAGACTTTTCTGCGAAAAACCCTCGGTTGTGACCCTATCAAGACACCTGCGATCGTTTATTGACGTATTTCCCAATTTTTATCTTATGATTGTCGCTCTTTAAGTGAGGTCTGTTTTTTTTTTTCTGGGAAAATGCTTTGGCAATAAGCATATTGAAAATTTGGACTGCTCTACTAGTTTCTATCGCTTTCATAACTTAACTCTGTTTGCATAAATCTCACAATACTTGAGTACTTACTGCCCCAAGACTCTTCAGTGAATCCACCAAATATGTTGTCCCCACTCTGAACAATAGTGATCGTGGGCCCTTTATTGTCGCACTTGGAGTGAAATGTTTCCGCCATAAAGCCATCTTGAGAAGCGCGGAACAGCAGACGAAGGCGCCTTTGCCTCTTCTGTGTATCTTTAGGGGGCAGCCACTGTAACAAAAACTTTCGGTGTTCGTTTTTTGTTACAATTTCGGAGTTAAACTGTAATTTATCAAGTATCCCCTGGATCTGGTAAAACTGAGCCTCCGCCTGTAGTTCTCTGAAGGCTGTTTCTCCCTCTGGAAAAGATAATTCCGTGGTTCGGAGGTAATTGAGTATTGATCGAAAGTGCCTTCCATCTCGGTCGATGAAGAAAGCGCCGTCTTCTTTAGGTTTCTGTTCAAATATCTTTGAGACAATGGAGGGTAGCATTGAGTTTGGATCGTTTCTCAGTGTTCCAAGAGTTGTTGTGAAGCAATGGCCGCCAACATTAAGTTTTATGATCTTAGAAATTCGATTTTCGTCGTCCTCGTTTAGTGCTTCGTGTTGCTTGCTTAACGCCATCTTGGTGTAAGGCGAGTCTCCCAGCTGCAGTTATTACGTCAATTAAAATTCGGCCTCAGATGGAGACGGCAGGAAAACAGACTTTAAGAAGGTTCCATAGGGTTTTTTGACTGCGCGAGATCTGGGTGTGAACATGGCGCGAGTTTTAAAAAGTTTTAGGAAGTAAAAATACAGTCAAATTCTCAATAAATACCTCACCTTACTTTCACAGTCCATTGCTTGTTTTGTGACCGCTTACTTTGTTGCAACGAGGCCATTTTACCGAGTTATCCATTTCTAGGTTTACTACTTGTAGGAGAAGGACCTTTTCTTAGGAGTAGTAAACCTAGAAATGGTAACTCCAACGCCAAAATGGCCGAAGTGACAGCTTGGGCTAACTAGCATAGACGGACGTGGCATTTCATAACCGTCAAAAAAACCAAAAGGAATATTTATATTTTTGTAGTTATGTTTTGTAAAAAACTGACCTTAAGCACCTGCTAGTTCATCAATTCACTAACTTTTCTCGGTCTTACTTTTCGAGGTCTTGGTTAATTTTTGAGGTCTTAGGACTCAGTTTTGAGACACTCGTTTAACAGAGTAACAAGTACGTGTATGGCATCAAATTATTTAGCGGCTGAAGAACAAATTACAATTCTAGAGAAATTTCTATAAACGATTCGTCTCTATAATCACTTCTGTGCACTGCATCGATATCGAGTAAAAATGTCAGCGTTTTTTTAAATCTTTATTTTTCAGTATCTGAAATTTAATTCAAAATCGTAAAATTATGGAAAAAGGGGAGCAAGGTCCGAAAGACCTTGCAACTTCTATTAAGTTGTGAAACAATCTCTTTCTTTTTATTTCTTCTTCTTCTTTCTTTAAATCAAGATTTTCCTTCTTTACCGATGTCATTTGATAATCAGTTACGTAATTAAAGGTGCCCGATTTCCTTTTAGACGCCAAAAAAAAAAACACATTAAATGTCCGTTTAACAGAATATTTGTCAGTTCACAAGTTCAAGAACTTCGTAATTGGTCACATGAAAATGAGTTTTCCCAGTGAAGAACAAATCAGCCTTGGATTCCGGGTCATTATAAGTTGGGTTATTGTAAGTTTCACCGAGACAAACTGAACTTGAAGCAGATATGTTTGCATTGCCTGAGATGTGCAGGTCATGCCCATCCCTTCCCAACCCGAACGTTGGTCCATAGTCACTTCTGCAGCAAATGGCGTACTGACTTTCTCGCTTAAGTGGCATTTTAGTCGGTTCTGAGCCACTTGGGCTGACCATGCTGAACAAGAATGCTTCTGTACATCTCGTGTAATCTCCTTGGCCTGTTGAAGAAATGTTACCTCTCTATTAAACACAGCGCGTTTGATAACACTGTCTACAATGATTAAATTGAATTAGCTCGTTGATCTGCTCTTTGCTTGGGTGAGACGACTTAACGGATTATCCGTGTGGCTCGTTTGACGAATAATTTTATTTCGTTGTTTTCTTTAAATAAGAACAGATAACCAGACAAATAAAAGCAATAAATATCAACCGTGCCTTTCCTATTACGAGAGAGGTTGGCAAATTCACATCCACCGAGTGTACGACTCCATCTAATTTATAGATACAAAACGCAACCGCAAACGCAGCCGCCGAGCCGCGTTAGCAGCCGTCACGAGAGTAATATAGAAAATCCTGCTACTCATAATAGATTGTTGGGCGAAATTTCGCGAGAATCAGGTTTTACTATCTACCCTAAAAATGTATGCAAAGAATGCGTAATTCCTAGAAAAATAAAATGAATGCGAGTAGTACCTGTCATCCTGAGTTAAAAGTAAACAAATTTAATTTCTTAAGAAAATAGCTAAAATGTAGTTTTATTTTTTTTCGGCTCGTGACTGTATGGAGATTATGCCAGCGGATAGTAAAAAGAAGGAAATAAATAAGTTTTGTTTTGAGCAGTAAAAATTGAATTATGGGAGTGTTGTTCTCCATAGACATTAATCCTTATTTTATCAAATATCAGCAGTTTGTTTCGTAATACTTAGAAGACTTTTCTGCGAAAAGCCCTCGGTTGTGACCCTATCATGACACTTGCGATGGTTTATTGACGTATTTCCCAATTGTTATCTTATGATTGTAGCTCTTTAAGCGTAGTCTGTTTTTTTTTCTGAGAAAATGTTTTGGCAATGAGCATATTGAAAATTTTGGACCGCTCTACTAGTTTCGTTCGCCTTCATAACTAAACTCAGTTTGCATAAATCTTATGACACTCGAGTACTTACTGCCCCACGACTCTTCAGTGAATCCACCAAAAATATATTTTCCACTCTGAACAATAGTGACCGTGGGCCCTTTATTGTCGCACTTGGAGTGAAATGTTTTCGCCATAAAGCCATCTTGAGAAGCGCGGAACAGCAGACGAAGGCGCCTTCGCCTCTCCTGTGTATCTTGAGGGGGCAGCCACCTTAACAACAAGCTTCGGTGGTTGTCGTTTGTTATAATTTCGGAGTTAAACTCTAATTCATCAAGTATTCCTTTTATCTGATAATATTCAGCCTCCTCCTGTAGTTCTTTGAAGGCTTTTTCTCCCTCAGGAAAAGTTAATTTCCCAGTCCGGAGATAATTGAGTATGAATCGAAAGTGAGTTCCATCTCGGTCGATAAAGAAAGCGCCGTCTTCAGCAGGTTTCATGTCAAATTTCCCTGAGAACATGACGCCCAGCATTGAGTTTGGATCTTTGGTCAGTGTTTGACGAGTTGTGGTGAAGTAATGACCACCGACATTTATTCTAACCCTTCCTTCTGTCTTTGACGCCACCAAATTTAATTCGTCTAATAACTCCTTGATCTGGTAAAATTTAGCTTCCTCCAGCAGTTGGCTGAGGGCTGTTGCTCCTTCTGGTAGGACACTTTTCCCAGTGCGAAGATAATTAAGTATAAACCGGAAGTGGGTTCCATCTCGGTCGATAAAGAAAGCGCCGTCTTCGCATTCTATAAACTTAGACCTGGATGAAAAGATGGCGGCCAACTCGGACTCCGGATCCTTTGTTAGTGTTTGACGACTTGTTGTGAAGTAATGACCGCCAATATTAAGTTTTATTGTCGAAAATATGTGATTTACGTTTTCCTCATTTGGTACTCCATGTTTCCTGCTAACGCCATCCTGCATTTTATAGTGTAAAGCGAGTCTCCCGGCTGCAGTTCTCAGGTCAATTAAAATTTAGCCTCAGATGATGAAAACGGACTTTGAGCAAGTTTTTCAAGGAATAAGTCTGACGACAAGACAAACGCAAGCGGCTGCACCAGTGAGCCATGAAACAAAGTAAACACGTCTAAACAGGAAAACCTAATCGATTTTTTTGCATTTTTATCATTGTTAAGTAAATTCATAAGTTATCTGTGCGATTTGGAATAAATTAACCCTCGTAAATTTTTAAAAGATTACAAATTGCACTCACCCTACGGGCTCTTGCAATTTGGTCAGCCTTTCCAAAATTTACTCGTGCTTATTCATCTCATATGGCACTAAAAATCATGCACGCCACTTAGTTCAATTACAGTTATTTGGCTGATAACGGAAGTGTATTCATACCGTTACAAGCGACGATGATCCACGGATCTTAACTGATCTAGGATAGACTCGAAATTCACGGACGGATTTGCATTCTAAAAGAAAGCAACTGCTTGTTAACCATCTCTACCATTTTGGTAATTTTATTAGACCTAGCTTCTACTGCCACCTCTTGATTACTTGATTAAGAAATATATTATTTGGTTCCATCAATTGTCCAATACGGAGATACGATAGAGTCACCTGGAATTTCCCAGTGCGAAGTTTAAACCGAAAGTGAGTTCCATCTCGGTCGATGAAGAAGGCGCCGTCTTCGTAAGGTTTTATCGCAGACTTTGACAACAAAATGGCGGTCAACCTTGAGCCTTGATCTTGGATTTGGTCAGCGTTTGAAGACTTGTTGTGAAGAAATGACCGCCAACATTGAGTTTTACAACGGAGGGAATGCTCTGAACTTGTTACATTTTGAGAACTTTCACCTCTTGCTTCTCAATCGTAATCGCAACAAGAGCAGGTTTGTAATTTCAACACTGCTTTTCGTTCACAAAGTTGTCCTCTCTTTTGACCACGTGCTAGAGGACTACAGGAAGTAAAAACAAGGGGCTCTGGGAACTGGGAACAAGAATAGGTAATTAATTAAGGAGCCGGAAGTTGAAAGGGAATGCCTGAAGTTTCATGTAATGAAAAATCTTGGAGGATTTTTTTTCAAATTGTGACGCGGAGCCTAGCTCTCCTTACTAGATTCTCCCCCCCATTACTTTTCTTTAGTATAAATGTACTTCTTCAAAAAATTAATGGCGAGTCACAACGCGTCTTTATTCTTGATTTCGGATGTCACAATGATCAAGGCTCTACCTAGTTCAGGTAGTCGCTTTGGAATGAACTTCTGTCTGCTAACTAAACCCCAAAACAAGGCTGTGTCTGCCCAGGGGGGCGGGAGCAATTGATTTGGGGGTAGGGGTAAGATGGGGTAGGAACGGAGGATTTAATAACATCCCTAATGACCTGTACTAAAATCGCGTGCAGAAACTCCGTTGAAATTGAGGTGTTCCCCCCCAGCCACAATCTATGTTGCGTTGAATGCTTCACGCCAATAACGTCCGTTCTTGGTAGTAACTATACACAATTTATTTCATCGTTTTAGAATAGTTCAAGTTAGGTTAACAGTTACAGTCAGGTTTCACTTGGAGTAAGTGCGAACTTCAAGAATTTAAATCACTTCGATAGGGTGCCGAAGATGACTGAATGCGACCGACTTTTCACGAAAAAGGCGGCTCGAAACCCAGCTGAGGAACCTTAGCTTTTCTTGGAAATATAATAAATGTAATTCGTCAATTTAGGCTGACTTCGATTCGACATTCACCCTACGCCAGAATAGAGGAGAGACCAAGAAAGAACTGTTCTTTAACCATTTACACCCTAAAATCGGTATGCATATTCTCCATACTGTTCTCTGTACATTTCCGAGGAGAATTTGTTTAACAATCAAGGGCTTAAGTTGACGATCATTTCCTTGATTCTCATTACTTTCGTCTGATTTAGCACTGACACAGTAAGGAGAAATTAGATACCAGTCATTCTTAGGAGTTTAAGGGTTAATGCGAAACGAAAAAGTTGACCTTTGAAGGCTTTTATCTCTCTCGCCAGGAAGGCGTTCGAGTCTCTTACAGTTTACTGCAAGACCAAATAAATAATTACATAGACAATATAACACTAATAGACAAAGTACTTTAAAATAAAAATCTGATCCAATACATAGGGTCTCTCAATATAAAACGAATATACGCTTATAATAACTATAATACAATACTGCAAAACACTTTACCTAAGGACTTTCCCAGGCGGCCTTGAATCATATATTCTTCATTCTCTCTAACACATACTACCTCTAAACCTGAAAACAAAATCTACAGGAATTTCCCTAGGAGGGGATGTATCAGTCGGCTCACCCCACCCCCTACCTCTCCAGCTCTAACTAATTGCTACACTCAGCAGCTACTACTTATCGTCTAAGGAATGCATTGGTCCACAAAATGAAACAGAATGCTTAAGTCAAGTGAAACGAATTTCTACACCGTAAACTCTCTCCTCCGTTGAGGTATATTCAAGCGAAGACTACTATACATTTGCGAATGTGTATATGACATCCGCTGTCAAAGAGAAGGGAGTATCAGATTTTTTTTTCCTAATTAAAAAGAAGAATTAATTTACCGTCTTCGTACAAATTGCACAATAGAGACGTAAGGGAATTAGGTCAATTGAACAGTTTTACTTTTTGACCTCATAAACTTCAGATAGTCTAGATTCCGTCCAAAATAGCACGTGTTTTACAGACGAAATTTCCAGAATTTCTTGAATCTAAAGCCATGCAAAGCCTGTGGTGACATCACATACCACGTGACTCACACATGTCGCCATCTTTAACCATTCCCAACGCGAGCTTCAAGTTTGCATCTGATCAACATCTTAGTCATCGTCGATAACAATAGGTTCCACTGCTTCGCTTTCTGGCGGGGGCGGCATGGCGTAAATAAGGGCGCGAAGATGCACGCTACATTTCACTTCCTTCCACGGTCTTCGCGCAACTTTTTTTTGGGAGTCCGCTGGTAAGACTCTGCGTGCTTTCCTAGCGGAGAACAACATATCAAGACTCATAGAATCATTTTCAAAACCTCTAAATGCGCTTTTGATTCTAGACTACGAGAAGTCCCTCCTTTTCGCCGGATCCGTCGCACGAGTCAAAAAAATTCAGTGGAAAATAAAAAAATTGATTTTAGCGCGCCGTGCGCATAACCCGCAATGTTCTGCACGGCGCGCAAACATAATTTTAATTGGACTCGCGCGGCGAATTCGCCTAAAAAAAAGCGACTGCTAGAAGTGTATTTTGAGAAAACCAAGGAAAGGACAAATTCAACATTAACATACTTGGAGACCAGCGAAGTCGAACATCAAAACAATAAAGAAGACACGCGATAAGAATTCTACAATGAGCCTCTTACCGATAGGTTCTTATCATTTTAGATTACCAATTTTAGATTATCAATTTAGATTACCTTGAGCGTTTGTTTGAGCGGAACTGGAATTCCTCTGGTGGATCAATGAACTGCGGATTCAGGTGGTGACCTTTGGAGCTTACAGACTTGATCACCGGACTTGGCTTGCTATTTTCCACCGGCTTGGCATTCTCACCGACTACTACCCTGTTAGGAACTGGTGTGGCCACTGAATTCACTATGACACCTCCCTCGGGATTTCCCTTAACAGGAGCTGTAGGCTTTGGGAGGAGGTACGGCTTGTTTGCTGCCCCTGAGGGGGAGTAGTTGGGCAAATTGTTCATGCCACGCTCTAAATGAAGCTGTCCATTGATGTATGACGTCACTGAATGCTGCGCATATGGCACAATCTTAGTAGATCCGGGACCCAAGGCCGGGCTGACGTCACAATATGCGGGATACGACCGCTGTTTAGGCGGCTCTGCAGACGCGTGCATCGTTTGTTCATGGTGTGTTAAGCTCGCTGTCAATAATGAAAACACTCCTTTAGGATTTGACTTAAACAAACTGGTCACTAGAACCGAACTCACACATTTTCCTTACATCCTCCCTTCCGATACTGTCTAATTTATTTTCCCCTTCTATCGGCCAAGACAATTTTAAGCTTCCTTGTGATGACTATTCATTTTCTTTGATCATTAATTCAAATTTATCATCAAATTTAAAAGATCCGACTCCACACCGTTTTCATTTCCTTTAATTTTCTTTTAATGAAGAAAACAATCAGCTAAAAATCCACCAATTTGATCACAATCAAGACCGAAACTCCCGGAAGTAATAGAAATTGACCCAACCAGGAATCGTCCAACATCATCTTCTCTGACAAACTCACACTTTCTTCAGCCGATGCCTTACGCTCCATAAAGACTGGTACGGCAAAGCAGCCTGTAACATGAGTTACTGCTTACCTTGATTATGAAGGATCTTTCCACAGTAGGTGCACTCACAGCCTTTCTTCCCCAATGGTGACGTTGCACTGAGCCGTTTAGCCGAAGGACCTGCAGACGGGAACACAAACAGTACCTTATAGCGCATCGTTTCTTACAATAAAATTTTGCGAAGAATAAGAGAACTCTTGATTCAACACCAGAACCAAAGTAAAAGAAAGAATTTAAAGGAGCAGGTGACTTCTAAACATAACGAGGCCAGAGTAAAAGCCGATAACGAATTCGTGATTGATTCGAGTTTTGCATCTGATTTATTACGAGGTTGGGGTGATTTTTCCACAAGAACACTAACAAGGCGTAGTTCTGCGAAGCCAACAAATACACTGGTAACAGAAAGTGGCTGGCAATTCTGAGCTGCTAAGCTGAGCGTTATTCTATAGAGCATCACGCACAAGAAAACATGAGTGATCAAGTAGCGACTGGTTTTAGTCTTGCAACTGATTGCTTTGGAGAGTAGCACAAGTTTTTCTCGATCAATTATGGGGCGATGCTAGGTAGAGCCATTGCTCTGTCAGTAGGACTTCAAACCACAGATCGTCTTACCGTCAATACCATTCTGTTGCACGGAGCCACTTTCGTGAGACCGCTTCCTGGCCATCATATGGTTCGTCGTCTGCTGGGAAGTTTGCTGACTTTGTACAACAGGTTTAGCTGAGGGGATGGCTGCGTACTTCCAGTCGCTGGCCTTGGGCGGGGTCGGCTGAATAGGTACATAGCTCTTCGACGGGGGAATCATTTTTCTTGAAGGGGAGGTAATTGAGTGACCAGTAGGAGTGGGAGGGGATGGTGAAGTTGGTGAGTGTTCCTTAGGGAGGGGTAGTAAGGTTGGTTTGGACGGTTTAGGAGGTTTGTGTGGTTTTGGCGGGTTTGCTTTAATCTTGTCCACGACATCGTGAAGTTTTCGCTCCACCCTCCGTTTCTTCGCTTTAATTATGGCCTCAGCTTTAGGCGTCTCTAGCCTCTTTAAACCTGATGGAAAAAAAATTCACAAACATTTAAATCACAAACGAGTGATACTGGACTATTCCATTGTATTGGCTGGGAATAACTACTAAAACAATAAAGTTTATTTGCTATCAGTTGCAACGGTAGAAAGTCAGTTTTCTACTGATTTTCAAAGTGTTTACTCTTTCAAGGTCTTCAAAATAGGACTCCAAATTTGAATACATTTTAAAGAATCCATGAGTCTGAACTGACTCTGTTGCCCCCTTCCTACCAAACTGACACAAGTTCGTGAACGAGCACTGATAAGATTTAATATTTGGGAGTAAGCTTTTCATGCAAGAGTTCAAAAGACATGACATCTCTAGGAAATTATGAAAAGACTGACCAGTGGGAAACTTACACTGTGCTCTGATTTCTTGGATATTCAGAGCTTCTCCGACCACTCGACAATGATGCACTTTATTATACAGATCTTGGCACAGCCGCCGAGCCAGTTTGGTCAGCGGTAAGGCCCTTATGTAAAACGGTGACCTAGGTTTGAGTTTACGCGGGCTGGGTGGTCTGCATCCATGCACGGCTGTTAGGTGCCGAGTGAGGTTGGGACGAGAGTTGAAAACCTGGTGATGACGAGAATGAAAATGGATGTAACACAACAACAAAATGTACCAAGTAAATACGCATACCTGCGAATGGAGGAGATCAACATAAATTTTTGCTAAAAGAAGGAATGATGCATGAGAATGAAGAGTTACAGCGACCGTGTAGAGCCAAGTATTGCAAATCACAAAAATCACTCAAACTTTTAAGTTTGTCAGAGCATGTTTAACATTAGGTTCACTGACAGAAAACGTAGGGATTGTGTTGTCAGGTACAGAATTGTGTGCAACTGTTACATTGTAAACAGCGTAAAAAGCGTAAAAAAGATCTGAGAGAACATTCAGTTTCCTTGGTATGGGGATGCACTTTCCATTAACACCTCAATACTTATAGGATTAAACTACAAACTCTCACAAAACATTTGTACAAGATAGGCTTTCATTTCATAAGTGGGGTGTACGGCTACAGATCGAGTTTGAAAATGGGTTAGTTTAACTTCCCAACATCTCTTTAATTGCGCCAGCCTCTAGAGATTTTTGCTATTCATGTACATGTCAACGGTTCCACAAAAAACATGCTTGGAGGACAATGATTCTGTCCAGAATCTCTTCACCTAAGAGAACTGAAATGTCCACGTGCTCAACCTAAGTCACATGACTGGACAGAGAGCATTCTCAGCAATGCATCATGCCTGTGCCCATGATGTCACAGTCACACCATAATTCAGATAACTCATATCGTGACAAATTTACCTTTTCACATCGTGACACCCCACACTTGTACACCTTGTGTGTTCCCATGTGACTGGACAGACGCTCTGTTAATGAACATCATAAACATTGCGTTATGAGAGCATTATTCCACTTAAGTGTGTCAATATTACACGTATGTTACAAAATAACAGAGGAAACTCTGCACCTGATTTAGCAATCAACCAAATAAATAAAATTGATCAATGAATACTGTGATGTTTTCATGAAGTGTTGTAAAACCAAAACCACAGTTATCTTAACAGCCAGTCAGAGGGAAGGAAAATATCAGAGGGAGTTGATAAATCTAGAAGAAAAGATGCTTGAAAACATGGAGATGATGTTGTTGTTGTTGTTTTTTCCTTTCTGCTCAGATAAATTTCCCATAAGTAAACTACACGTCACTCTGAAGATACCTGCTCTGTTGAAGACCTTGCCGCATACTCTGCAGGTGTAGCTTGGCTGAAGACCGCCATGACCCTTTCCAGACAGACCATCTGACACCGAGGCAAAAGAAATATTATTAAAAACAGTAGCTCTTATTCCAGATCCGCACACGTGGTTTAGTTGGACAGTGGTTTCCTATTAGCGTACGCAAAAGCGAGGCTATCGGGTCAACGGGTCGGAAACGTTACATTATTTCCAAAATCAGCGTTTTCATCAGCGAAGAGTTGTTTATCCTTTCTTAACCCCCAAGATGTGCTTAGTAGGTTCCAGGTTCCCATTCCACTCACAACAATAACAGAATTTAGCAGAACTTCCATCTAAGTGGTCCAAATTCAACATGTTTACCAACCCACCGTTTCCTTGTTGATTTGTACTAGGAAATGTGCCACTCTCTTTTAGAGTATGTTTGATTCATATAATCAACTTGTGATTGTTTAAAACCCGAGTATGTTACCTGCCTGGGGTAGTTTGATGTACTTTGTCTATAGACCAAAGGTTTACATTCAAATTTTGTCCATACATGTTTTAGAAAACGTTAATTCATAACAGTTAACTGTCATAAAAGAATGCGTTTTTTCAGTCCCTTAGCCTTTTTCTACAGGCGCTTCATTGTAATAAGCTTCAGTTTTAATTACAAGCCTCTCAGAATAGACATTCCTGGTCCTACATTAAAAGCTGTGAAAAAAATGTACATATAAACACCTGGTCTTTTAAGTCCACCATACTTCTTCCAGTAAATCCAGCACAACGTGCAAAGCCAGAATTTATGTTGCGAATTTGGAACTCCCCAGGGATACCACTGCTGGGATGAGGTACCTGTGGCCACAAGTAAAGAGTGTTACCATAAAGTACCCAACTTTGAATAAAAACCCACCCTGTAAGTATGAAAAGCTAATAAGTGTCCACCCTCTTCAATTGTTGTAAAATTGCCATTATTATAAATCTTGTGCAAAACAAGTTTCTCAAAGGTTTCTAAGTCTGCTATAAACCATCTTGCAGTTCAAAAAACCAGACAGTTTGCAAACAGACAATTGGCATAAAAGATTTGTTCATCTCCCCTTACAGCAGTAAACTGGAGTAAAACAAGCTAATACCACTATCTTGCAGCCTCTTTAATGCCCTAAGCTTAATGCTTTACCTACAGTTAAAACTGTTTATCATACGCACCATAACAGCTTTCACAAGTAACACCAATGAGGTTAGTTGCTACACCAGGTGGTGGAGTTAAAATTATAGTAGATGTCTGCTTTTTCCCTGATTGACTTGTACTTCCACCACTAAAAAAAAAACAAGTAAAATGTCATCAATCTACCATCTGCAAATAAAAAACTACAATTTTCTGACAAAGCTCTGTATGCTGGAACACTCTCCTCTGAAGGTTATTTATAGTTAATTATCTTCAGAAAGTAGCTTAATCTTCAGTAATTTAATAAACAAAGGACTTTGACAGTATGAATGGGTACAGGAAAGCTCAATTCTATCAAACCATACTGTCCTGCACAACCAATTGAGAAGATGCATTTTCGAATGTATTCAAATTAGTGTGGATGAGACCTTCTTATAAGTAGATTCCATGATGTAGTGGGTCTGTCTAGTAATAGATCACTAATGACAACAAAATGAAGTAAGAACAACTAAGTACTTTATACACTTAACCAACATCAATTCATAGAAAATATAATTTATCCTCATGGTTAGGTCAAAAACACATGTTTTAGTGTACTTACAGGCCGGGTATGTAGATCTGTGTTAGATTACATTCCTTAGAGACTGCTTTAAGTCTTTTCTATAAAGTAAATGAAAAAAACATTGAAATCATTATTGTTATTGCTCTAAAATAACATTATTCCATTTTAAAATTATCAAGACTAAAAATCATCATTCTCAAATTCAAATAGTCTAATTCCTATGAGTTCTTTATATACTAAGAATGTGTGTGAAAGTTGAAATAAAATTAGTAGAAATAAAATTAATATATTAGGTTTTGTAGGTACAACAATAGTCAACTAAGTCTCAATACCATTAATACCCCTGATGAAGCCACTAGACAGGAGTGTCGAAACGTTGGGTCTATGAATTGTAACTTCTTCAGTTACATTCATTAAATCTGCAAACCAGAGTAGCATCAAACTATGTCTGACCATTAAGAGTTGTAAAATTTATTTTGGGATTTGAAGTTCTATAGAATTTACATAACATGATAAGAGTTTCCTTTGTACCAAACAAATGACTTGGGAAGTGTCATTGTTATTATTGGGCATCCAGTGATCAAATCAAACAATTTTTTTGTTTTATTTACCAGTAAATATGAAAAAATGTGTGACCCAAATTCTCTGTTTCAATTAAAGGAAAAAAATGCTCTCCAGTTGTGCAAAACACTGGGTATATGGCTGGAGGAAATCAGAAATCCAAAAAAAAATTTGAGTTTATCTATCATATTACCAAAGTGCAGGAGCTGAATAAACAATAAAAAAGGCAATAAATGACAAATTAAGTGGAGAAAATTTATATTTCTTTCACCGTAAAGCTTTTCTCTAACCTGTTGTAAATATCTGTCTGTGGTTTTCCACATGTAATAATATTCCACTATACTTGGTAGACTCTTCCAAGGAAGCTATAGGGAAATGAAAACACAGAGTTAACCAGTGATGCCACATAGATCACTTTATAGAGGTCACACACAGAATAATAAAAAAGTGCAGATCTAAACATTAGCAGAACATTGAACTACAACTTACAAAGTCTTTCTGAATGTCAGCAAAATCTTTTCCGTATTTTTGAAGGGCTTCTTCAAACAAAGTTGCTTCTCCTAATATGATAATCAAACAATAATTTTAGCACTTTCATCAATAGTCCAAGAAATTGTGACACTGTCCACACATGATCACCCAACATTATCATGTTATTGTCATTTGTTACTGAACATAAATTGAACCATACACAAAGGTAACAGTAATACCTCAAATATAATGAGTTCACTATTGACCAAGCATGATAGTGATTATCCTTGGGTAATTAAAAATAATTTACTTTCACTGGGCTGAACTGAACTTGTTGATAGAAGGTGGTTAAAATAAAATGTTGATATTTCACACTGTGTGGAAACAAAAGGATGCTCAACATTTATCCAATGTTTTACATGGAGTAGATCAGTAATTCATGATTCACAAAAGAAATCATTGCAGGACTCATTGAGATTAACTCCATGGTTTATTCCCAAAAGCCTGATGTTGTCATCTTGCAAAATCAGGCTTCAAGAGAAAGAACAATTTCAGGCATCCCCTGGAATTGAACACTTGCCTCCTAGATACTATCTGGGCGCCACTAGCAACTGAGCCAAGAAGCTCAGGTTTGAATCCTCTTGCAGCTGGAATTTTACAGGCCTCTTCTCTACATTTACATCAGCATGGATCTTTTCTTCAGTAGAATTTCATCAACAGGTCAAAAAAAAAATTTCTTTCATGAACCCTTTAACCACTACGAGGGACAAACATATTATTTCTCCTTACAAAATCATCCCTCAATCACACATTAAGGTCATGAGAATAAAGAAAATGATCACCAAGTAAAGAACTTCTTGATTGTTAAACAAATTCTCTTTTACAGCACCCTAAAAAATGTATAGGGAGCAGTAAGGAGAATATGCATAATGAGAGAATGTTCTGATACACCTACCTGCTGACCACTCTTCCATCTCATCACGACAAAGAATGGGTCCACCGGAGGGAACCAGACTAGCAATTGCCTTGCTGACATTGTACCCATTATTATGGAGAGCACACATGGCATGAGACTGAAACCAAATTAAGCATGAAATTATTGATAAAAACAGAGTACAAAATGGCAGAGAACACAAAATTAAGGGAAAAAAAGTTGTATTCTGCCTCAGGATTTCACACAAGAGATTTCTCAGTGGTCTAAAGTTCACCCCTTAACCTAGATGGGTCTTTCTCAGAATTCTCCCCTCACCACATTTCCCTACTGGCAGAATGAGAGTATACTCTGACAAATTAGAACCCCAAGAAAAAGGAATGCACTAATAGTTAGAAGCATTTCTGCTATACTATAATATTCCAGTAGAAACCAAGGTTCTCACAGAGTTGGGTAGTTTAAAAATATTGTCTTACAATGTACATGTACAACATTATCGAGGAGACCCAAAACTGTTCACACTCTAGGACTGTTCACATGCTATGCAAGGTCACCAGCTTTCTGCTCTACTTCAATTCAACCACCTCTGACAATTCTACCCAGAAAGAGGATTATCATTCAAACAGCATAATAAACTGCCCTGCTGAGGAGAACCTCAAAGGGCTAATGACACTGAAACCCAGAAGCTTAGGGCTTTTTTCAGTATATGTGCTTCTGAATTCTTTCTTTAATGATTTTCTCAAACAACAGATATCACATATTGCACCAATGAATCACATATCACATTACATAAAGGAATTTAAATATTATGAATAGGGTGCAAGATCTAATCAGATTATAATCAACAATAGTTTTGCCTTTAACCTTGACTTAGTATAAGAAAATGTATTCCAAACCCAAACGAAATTCCCTTAAATTAAGACCAAACCAAGACACAGCTGAAGGGCAGGTAAACTTAACAACAAACAATACGATTTACAAAGGTAACGATATGATCTGAAGCATGACAAGAAATTCTGGCATGTTTGATGAATGCACCTAAATTTATCATATTCAAATTTGGTCTTGAGTAAAACCTGAACTACAAGTGAGAGCACATCTTATGCAATAACATGATTTTTCTGATAGGGTGGAAACCTTGTGTTTTTTTTCTTTTTTTTGGCTTGGGTAATGCATCAAATCAAACAAGTATGCAAATTATTTATTATAAGATTCTTTGTTTCTTTACATGTATTAACAAACTTATTAATTTTTTTTTGGGTACATGTATTACCAAACTTATTTATTTTTTGGCCTACCAACAATTGACATACCTTATAACAAATTAATTATAAAATCTGTTTTCTTTTAGAAGCAACATACATTCACAGACCTTGCTAGATATAAGAAGTACATAAACAGGACTTTTTTGGTATATATTAAGCAAAGATGTCACAGAGCTCTTGCTCACAAAAAGGAAGTCACATGAAATATGTTTTTTGGAGCTATACATATTTATTTTTTGGTAATTTCACTGCCATTCTGTTTCTTCTTTTCTTTGTGCATTTTATCTGCCCATAATACTGACAAATACTGTATGCCTACCATAAGCTGTATTCAATAACATGGGCTTAAAATGATTTTCACACATACAGTTAACTGATAAGCATAATGATGTATAAGCCAACTATGAATAGTTTTAAGTATATTCTTAGTAAGCTGCAATAATTTAGGGAAAAAAAGGACAAAAATAATTCAGGCTTTGACAGATCTTGAACTCGTGCCTTTAAGGCAATGGACAAGGGCTACACACAACTAACCTAAGAAACTACATTTTCACAAATGGTTTCAAGACGTTTAAAGACCAATACCACACTACAAAGGAAATTAATCATTCAAAACTTACCAGTGTGATGTCTCGAGAAGCTGCTGCAGCACTCATGTGTAAGCTTGGCTGCTTAACTGAACTGCTACAATCAAGAGCTCTGGCGAATGTCCCCACAGATCTAAAATAAATTTTAAAAAAAATTGAGAAGCTTTGTCATACCAAACAAGAAAGAATCAAAGCATTTATTCTCATTTGACCAAGACATGGGTAAGGCTTAGGTACGAAGCCTTACATCAGTTTGATTTGTTTAGTAACCCTCTTAACAGTGATTAAAATGCATCTTTTCCTTACAATATCAAAACAGCATTGACCAGAGAGGTGTTGAGAAAAGAAAATATTACACTTACATGTCATGTATTAAGTCACAGTATTTCACTAGGAAATTAATGATATTCAGAAGGGAGAGTTACAAACCAGACCTTGGAAGTTGAAAGGTATAGAAAACAAAAACAACAACAACAAATATATTATGTTCTACCACTTGTCCTGTGTACCTTGCTATAACAAGAAACTGATCAATGTGTTGATCCTGCAGGGGATTTTTTGGGTTCCAAACCAAAGTTTCCAGTTTAGAAAGATCCCTATCATCTTGAAGTCCTTAAGTATAAAAAGAACAACAATTTCAACTCATTTCAGGTTAACTAATTTACACTGAAAATTTTTAAAATCAACATTTTCAACTTGAACTGACACTTGAAACATAAGACCCAAAAAAATTAAGTATCACATTCTGTTTCAAGCATCAAAAGCAAACTTGATCTTTGATATATGCAGATGTCAACAATTGCAAGAGCATTTTCTGTCTTTTAAACATTTCATGCTTTCTAAAAGTGGATGATAGCAAAATGAAATATTGACCTTCTACCACAAGACAAAGGATTCCCTTTGGAAAGATTCTGTTGTGATGGTGTTAATTGAGGTCTAGAAAAATACTGAACCATGACATACAATGTATGAAATACAAGGTATTTCAAAAGTCTGCCAAAGTCAATAACTAACCTTTACGAGCTGTTTTGGGTACTTGAGCTTGATAAGCAGTGCCTATTCCCATTTCTCCTCGGTCAGCAACTAAAGTCTTTTGTTGAGGATCGTAAACAAGAAAGTAATGAAACCAGTCCTGCAAGAAGAATGGAACATATGATCAGTATGATAGAACACATGATCACCTAAAACATCATGAGTATAAAAGATATTGAACACACCTCTTTTTCTAAATATTTTGGTAGAACTTCAGCCTCATTGTAAAGAGTCACCAAACATTTTCCTCTACGAAAAATAAAAGAAATATTACAGTGCAAAAAATCAAACTCTCATTAACAAACATTAAAAATCAATAATGTATAGATAAATCAACTTTATAATTTAAAAACAAGTTAGCAATTTGACAGACAAAACATCACACAAATCAAAACATTTCTAAACTCTTCAAAATTCACTTGTGACCCCATACACATATATACATATATGTATGAGGATTCATTTGTTACAAAATGGCATTATTTTCATTTAAAAGTAAATTATTGTTGACCAGTAGTTTGTGCCAAAAAGACATAGGTTCCAACCATCTGTTCACTTTTGTTTGCTAATAAAGTTTAGGACATGAATCTCTGGGAAAATTATTTTTGACACAGTTCAGAGTTTTTAAAAAGATTTTCCCTTGACTTCTGATTTTTTTAAAAAGACACCTGAAAAAAACATTTTTAGACAACAAGCATATGTTGTACCAGCTACCACACCACTCTCCATGAATTATTAAGAAGGACAGAGATATTTAATAAACATATTCAGTGATTACAAGTGCAATTGATAAAATCAGCACAATGTACAATGTAAGTTATGCGAAAGTGTTGGTTTGTAACCAAGAAAATACATTTTGCATATTTTGAGTACCACATCCAGAAATTCTAAAACATCTTGAGTTTCTGGAGTGACCTCTCAGTGTTCTGAATGAAAAAGCTTTTCATTCTGTTTTTTTTTCTTTCTTATTCTATCCAAAATTCACAAACAGCATGAAAAAACACACACAATTCAAGTAAAATTATTCTTTTGTAAGAACAATGCATATTGATCACACAACAGGAAACCTGACATTATAGTAGCCTAGTATGAGTTTAAAATTTACAACTGGAACCTTTACCAATAATAACCAGTGTGCCCTATATTGTAGAATTTGGGAAAGTCAGCATTTTCAAAACAGGTAGGTAGATGTACTACAAAAACACACCCACAAGAGCACAAATTTGTGCTTAGGATCATAGAAAATTACTATGAAACAATTCTATGGTATAATTGAATTCTATACAGACAATGCATGTACCATGATAGGATGACACAGACCTGTCTCAAAATCACAATGAAACATCAACTTCCTTCTTTGCAAAACAAAAATTGACGGAAATTTCCTGTGGTCCAAATTCTAAATCTGCTTTGTGATTTTTCCTTCTCTTCTTTCTAATTCAAGCGATTTGAAAACTTCAAAACAACATTACATGAACTATGTATCTTGTAATACAAAACAATCTTGACCTTGCAAAAGCTAAACATCTTGCCTAAAATTATTACAGTCATGTATTAAACATTTCTAGTGACAGATTAAAGCAATGATTCTGTCCATAAGCTAGCCATGATAAAAGCTCAATCATTTTCTTTGTTTATATCAAGAGTGAAAGAAAATAGTTAGTTTTGACAGGAAATAATTTGTGTAAAAAAACAATGGTAAAGTCCTAAAGGTACAAAATAAAGGTGATTTCATTATCTTTATCACTTTTGAAATTCTATTCATTAAAACAACTTCGAAATTTTGCATGTTACCAAGAAGATTTATCACTTATATTGTATCACAGGACCTTTGGCATGAAATTCAGTAATTAAAAGCTATAATTTACTACAACACAAATGACATGTGGATATATTCTGCACATTTTAATGAACAACACCAACTGCATACAAAATTACATATCCTCCCAGCATTCTAACCTGCCATGAGGATTTGATTTTGGGAATAACAATAAATGATATGTTAACTTGAGATTTCACTTCAGTTTTAAGGAATAAAATAGGACATTTTAAGTCTTCTTACCTAATGGTGTTGGCATTAATATTTTCATACTGTCTGGACAAAAACACTTCTCTGTGAATCAGCTGATGTCTTAACACATCTTCCATTTCATTGTCACCCATTTCAATTTCTGCATCCTCTTCTGCTTGTACTGCGACAAAATTGTATTGAATAAACAGTAAAAAAACAGGGATGTCAACATTCAGTTATAAAGTGAAGTTCTTAAAAAAATATCTTGGTTCTTCAAGGCTCTTATCTCAGTTTTCTGATTTTTTAAGCTTTTAAAACCTTTCATACAAACAAGGGTATCTAAGTCTCCTAAAGACAGATGTTGGTCAACTGTAGTGCATGTGCTTGGCCAAAGTATAACCCTGACTATATTATCAGAATCTTTTACTATACCAGAAACCCAGCGAAATGACCAGAAAGTATAATGTTATGCAACAGATTTTTTTTAGTATGAAAACTGAGAATGATTTGATTATTATTAATCACATTTACAGCTGCTAAGCAGCTAGAGACCCCTCTGTTGGGTTAAATACTTGCTATTCCTAACAACCTCCTCAATTCTCATGTCTCCAACAGTTATCTTGTAATAACTGATAACTGCTGAAAACCCAACAATGAGGGACAACCTACAGTGATAAAAATTCCCCATTTCAGTGCTACTGATGATGAAACAAAAGCTAGGATCCAATTTCCTTTTGTTGAAACTTTGTTTTAATTATAATATTGCAAATCAGGTAAAGTATACCATAAATGAAAATTTTCAAGATCAAGGAGAAAGTTACTTGTCACAGGTTTGAGGTATAAACCAATACCAAAATGTTCAGTTTTATTAGGATAATAATTCACATTGAAATATAAGATAATTTCTGAGCATGTGACCCAGGAGGGCATCCTCATCAATTCCAAGAATTTCAAAAATTTTTAACACCCTGAAATTACACAACTTCTGATTGCTTCCCTTAAAATCATCATTACAATCCTTTGTACAAATCAAACCCCCTTTTCAAGATTATCTGCTTAGTCTAAGACCATAACACAACTATGCCTATAGCTTGACGGGAACAACAGCAGAAAAATTTCAATACGATCACTGAGTACCAAATTGTCTTAAAGCATGCATCACAGAAACCATACAATAGTTGGAAAAATTAGGGATCTTGAAAAACCCAGGTATCATAGGCATTTCAGAGTAAAACACTGTCAACAGCTATGACAAATAGAGCAACACTGTTTGTCTCAAATTACACCAAAGCTAAATCTCACTATATGCACACCTGATCCAGGAAATTATAGTGGCTCTTCACATTTTCCATGATTTAATTGTGTGTTTTGGAACATGTTGAAAAGAAAAAGACACTATAAAAGCCACTAAAGAAAGTGTGCAATGTGTCTAGTTTGTTCCAGCTTGGCTATACTCACTCAAATGTTTCTCAGCCTGAACTGCAAGGGCTGAAGATAAATCTCTCTTTCTGTAAAAACACTGAACTTTAGCTTCAACTTGCCCATTGCTTGTCTGGAAGAAAAAGAAGAAAGTTACTCCAAGTCCATAACCAAATTTAGTAATTAACATATTTATGAATAAATGTTCAGAGCCACCTTAAATTTTTACCTTAGTCAACTCCTCAATTCTTCGTATTTGATACGGTAACGCAGGATTGGTTTCAACGTAAACATAATCTGTGTTGAAGTAGAAGTTAATTAACGCAATACATCAGTTTAAAATCGTCAGATATCATCAGAAATACGGTTTGCTACCAAAAAAACGCACATGGTCGCAACGACAGCCGCTAAGCAGGTAACCGCGCGCACCAAATCAACAGACCTGAAACTATCATTTGTGAAGTTTTTTTCGGTTTTCCTTTCGTCGTTTTAAAATCAAATCACAATCATTGAGACAACCTTCAATTTATGGCTACAACAAATCAATTCCACGAGACTTCCCTCGGGTTTTCTAGTAAAGAATGGCAGTAGTGAAGTCCCCGATAACATTCGTACACCGTACGGAGGTTTTTGTTCATTCTCCCGGCATACGGATAAAATAACGCAATCGTCCGCGCGTAAAAAATCCACACCAACATCAAATAAATATATTTACTTCCTTTTTAAGTATACTCGAGAAATGAAGCATTCGCAAGGCAAGGAAAGACATGCCATTAAATGCGATTTCCTCAAGGGGGGAAAATGAAGCTTTTCAGTGAAAAATTCTCCGAAGTTTCTAGTGTGATCACTCACCTCCAACCCGGAAAACATTTGATGCGTTCGCCATGATTCACTAATGGCGGGAGTTTCTTATTTGAAACTTTGATCTGTAAGAATTACGAATGTCAAGTTTTTCATGGAGACTGTGCACTATTCCACCGAAAACGTCATTCACCACACACGAACGCAGCCATTATTGTTCGCCTCAAAGCGAACCACGCGTCTTTTGACGTCACGAACGGAACGTATACTGTCACGAAGATACAAGAGAGAACAGGTGCGCAGACTCGCCTAAAATCGTGCCAATTCGGAATTTTTCGGATTGTTTAGAATGACGTAAGCGTGATTGACAGCTTGTTTGTATGTTTACCGGTTGTAGTTGTAGCTGACACACACCCAAGCGTCCTCGATTTTCATTGGTTCGCGTTCGGCCATAACGCAAATTGCATTCGTGTTGGTCACGAATTTGAATAGCCGTAATTGTGGTTATGTTTTCGCTAAAGCGATTCTTTGTTATACGCAATTACGCCTACCGAAACGTGTTTTGCTGCATGTCAAGGCCTTTCCGGAAAATTGTAATCGATTTTTGCTTGAAAGCTATCTAATTTTTAAGAGATTTATTCCAAGAAGTTCCCTTCTAAGTTTTGGTTGTTAAAATCAGTGACAGGCACCATAGTAGTTTCACGATGTTGTAATCCTATGAACTAGATGTACGCCACAATACTCTCTTTGAAACGCTATTCAAATGAATTGCACTCAATTCAAAATTTTCGTGATATATTTGCTTCAAATTTCGCTTCAATCTCGATTGCCGAACTCTCGTCCTGACGTCATATTACATTCTGCGCAGCCTCAACTGAAGTGCGTGGAATAAACCGGTTTATCTAGTTTGGTGAAAGTGCATGTTGCTTGTTGTGACATATCGGCAGGCGGAGCCAACACTTTGATGATTGATTGGCACGACTCGCACATCTCAAATTACAAAAGGACAAAGACGGATATTAAATTTTGGACCAGTGGACTCGCGAATCGAGAACTAGACATTATTTACAGCGCATTACAATGATAAAGCCGCAGGCATAATAGCCGCATCGATTCAGAGTACTAAGTATCATGAACTT